CTTTTACTCCTGCCAGAGGCCATGTCTACACTAGAGCCCTCTACTGGTATAGGTACACTGGTATGCTATACTGGCAAAGCACTCCTAGCGTGCATGCAGGTATCCCAGCGTAGCTGTGCCTTGTTTCGGTGTAGCAACCATCCCTGTGAACAAAACAAGATACCCCGGTGAAAGAGCCGCTTTGCCAATATAGCTGCACCTACGCTAAGGGCTTCTGCCAGCACAGCTTTGCCAGTCGGGGGTCACACGTCTTCACACCGCTGGCCGGCAGATCTATGGTGGCTAGAGTCCACTGGCTCCTCAGGCCTCTAACCCATTCCCCTGTCACACCCAACACCTAGCCATGATTGGCTGCCCCTAGTCCTTGCCTTCCTCCCTGACAATGAGACGATGGCCACAGTTAACTTGATGCACGAAGTGGCAGGTGGGTTATTTTTGAACCTCTTCTCTCCCTCTTTGTAACTCCTCCCCCCCCCCCCCATTAACCCTTTCTTTCCTTTACTTCCTACTTTAACCTGCAAACGTCCTGGGGATAGCGATGGCCTATAAGAGTCTATCACCTTTTTTAATCTATAATTGTTCTTGTGTCTAGAGATCCCTGCTGAGATCAGGGCCCCATTGTGCTCGGTGCTGTGTGTACAGGGTGAGAGATGGAAAATAAACGGCCGTTGGATGCCTAACCCTTTTTAGGGGCTTTTGAAAAATCGAACCCTAACAGACGTTCCCAAGGTCGCATGTGGCATCTGCAATAGAGCAGGGAGTTGAGCTCTGATATTTTAAACCCCTGGCCAGTGCCTTAATCCCAAGACTAGCCTTCCTCCTCCACATCCCAGAGTCTTGCACAATTCCAGCAATGGCACCATAATAAACTTGGGAGCTCGCAGAGTGCTGCACCCCTGGAATGTCAGAGGGGGCCGTGGAGATCTCGGATGGTTTGGCTAATTTCAGGACAGCAGGTGACCCTGTCACTGGCTCATCATGGCATGGATGCTCCCATTTTCCTGTGGGCCCCCAACTCCAGTCACTCAGAGGCTCTACTTTCCCCCAGGACTGTGGTGAATTGGTCCCCTTTGGAAGGGGAAAGGGTGTGACAGTGCCTGCTGGCAGGAGGAGGACTAGTGGAATGAGATTAGAGGGTGACTGTGAAGAAAAGAATATTGAAAGTGGGGGAGAGGGAACAGGGCAGAGCAAGAGGGCGGGAATGGCTTGTGAGGAGACGGGCAGCTGGCGTGTATGTGTGAGCAGCAAGTTCCCTGCCAGGCCAGGGGCTAAGCAGTTAAGGTGAATGGGGGGGGGGGGTCTGCACTGACTGGATTCTGCGCTGGCACAGCCTGTGGCAGTCACCTGCTGTGGCCCAAAGGGGGGCTGCTTGAGGGTAGAGGGAGAGCAGATCCCCTGGCATGGGCATAAAGGGGGAGACAAACCTGACCCATGGTCCATGTTTGTGCTAGCAGTTGAGGGGAACAGTTATGGGAACTTGCGGAGTGGGGACTCTGGGACATGGGGGGGCTCTCTGCCTCTGGCATGCAGCTGGGTCTGGGGAGGGGGCAGCAGCCCTGGGCTGTAAGGCGCGCGCTCGCTCTCTCTCTCTCTCTCTCCCCCTGTGGCAGAGAGCCTGTGTGTTTGAGGAGTGGGGATGGCAGGCAGCAGGCCCAGGTGGGGCAGGTGCAGGGCCGAGTTGTGGGGTGGCAGAGCAGAATATAGGGTGTGGGGGCCCAGCCTGTGAGGCTCTGGGGGGACAGGTGCAGGGCTGAGTTGTGAGGTGCATTCTGTCACTCTGGTACAGAGCCAGTGTACAAGTGGGGCTGTGAGGCTCAGCCCCCTCCCTGTGGCACAGAGCTGGGTGTGCCAGTGGGGCTGCAGCTGTCCTTGTTCTCTGACTCCATGTGCCTGGCATTCCTCCCTTCCCCCACGTGCTGGGAAGCGTGCGCTCATCCTCCCCTCCCAGTCCCTGGGCCATGACACCGCATGAGTCAAACCACCCCATTATTTTCCGTCCGGTCCAGAGACTTTGGGTGGGGCTCGTTCCCAGGCAGGCTTGTAGGGACACCCGGGCTGACTTCACTGACCGTCTTTCCTCTCCCTGGATCCTGCCGCCACACGCCTCCGTCTCCCTTCGGACTGCGTGGTGCCAGCCAGCCTGTGATGGGAGGGGGGCCTTGTCTACCCTCCGCTCTCCACACCTCCTGCCTCTGCCAGGGCTGCTCCTTCCCTGGCCCCCCTGATCTCCTGCAGGTGGCTGCAGCTGGGTAGAAGGGGAGGATTTTGTTCTCCTCCTCTCCCCAGTGGAAGCACCTGGGGCTCAGCTGGCTCAAGGAGGGGAAAAACCCCCTCAAGTGACAGGGAAGTCAGTCTCCAGCTAGAGGGTCTGGCAGGGTTTCCAGGCTGCCCCAGCCCTAGCCCACATGTGGAGGGGAGAGACAGTCCAAGTGGCTACAGTTCAGAGCACAGCTCCGAGTCTGACCTCCCCTGCCTGGTGCATCTCGGGAGTTGGCAGGAACCTGGCTGGGGCACCCTTAAGGTGGAAAATGCAGGGCTCTGAGTTTTTTAAGGTGGAGCTGGTGAGAAGGCAGGGGGTTATTGATAGATTTCATTTAAGTCCACCCCAATGTAATGCTGGTTACCCAGCCCCCAGGAGACAATTCTTGTGTGTCGCAACAGGGCAGAGATGGCTTTGTGGTGAAGGCACTGGACTGGGGCTTGAGGACTGGGCTCAACTCCTAGTTATGCCCCAGACTTTTCTGTGTGACCTTGGGCAAGTCACATCCCCTCTCTGGGCCTCAGTTCCACATCTGTAAAAGGGGGGGAGGGGTTAACGCCCAGATATGGAACTGGGGCCCAGAGAGGGATGCGACTTGCCTCACTGCCCAGCTGAGGGTACACCCATTAATGGCTGGAGCGGAGGGGACCATGTGCTCCAGTGACGGGCCGCGTGAGCACCTTGATCTATAAGCAGTGGTGCGTGGCCAGCTGGGCCTTGACCATGGGTGTTGGGGGCAGCCCCAGGGATCTGACTGTCTCTCGTTAACCCTTCTCTCCCCCACCCCCCATGGCCAAAAAAATACACGTGGCAAAGGGGGCGAGAGGGAGAGGTTTTGTTGTGATGGACTTGCGCCAGTATAAGACTGGTGGAAGCAGCAGCTGGGCTCTGGAGGTCTCTCCCCAAGCCCATGTCTTCCCTACAGCATCAGCCCAGCAATGTCTCCCTGCCAATGGGGCTGAATTTACAGATCCAGCCCTGGCATGAATGGAAGCACCCATTACTGTCCCTATCTGTGCAGCTCTCTGCACTGACTCTCCTCCCCTTGATTTCCCTCCCACGTCGCAGCCCTTTTCTGGAGTCCTGGAGGGGGGGACTGCAGGTGGAAGGGATGGGGAGGGCCCCCCACTTGATCTGGCCCAGGGCCCCACAAACCCCTAATCTGCCTCTGCCAGCTTCCCAGAGTTGGAAAAACCCTAGGACGTCCTGGAAGAACTGGGTGTAGTTGATTGTGCAAGGCTGGGGAAATCAGGAGTGATGCCTTGGATTCTCTGCCACCTTGCCTGGGAGCTGGATGCAGCACAGATCTGGTTGTCTGAGGCTTTGTGGGTGGTACCTGCTGCCCACATGCTAGGCAGAAGACTGATTTGTCCTGAAGGCCTGGGGCTGCAGAGAGCTCTGGCAGCCGCTGCCTCTCCTGTGAGCGGGAGGGAGATACTGAAGCAGGCAGCTCTGATTCCACACCCGTTATAAATGCCAGATTCACAGCTAATTTGATGCAACGTGTAAACAAGCCAGTGAGCACCAGCTGGCATTCATTGGCACATGAGAGGTTTGCTAGGTGGCAGCTGTGTTGGAAAAGTGGCGAGAATCGCTACCTTTGGTTTGTTGATCCGAGTTAGTGTGTCCCTTGTTCCCTCTGGCTCTCGCCCCTCTTTGTATGGTACCTGGTCCCAGCTGAACGTCTACACTTGAAAGACCCACCCGTGCCACTGCGTCTGAGCCCAAATCCGGTGGTAGCCATGTAGACATTGGGGCTCAGGCTGGAGCCCGGGCTCTGAAACTCTCCCCCTTGCTGGGTTACAGAGCCCGGGCTCCAGCCCGATCCTGAACGTCTACACTGATGTCTTTAGCCCTGCAGCCCAGTCCCCGCGACCCTGTCAATTGCCCCGAGCTCTGACACTCAGCACTGCGGGTGTTTCTCCACAGTGTAGACATACTTGTAGGGACACCCCAGCTCACGTGGTGTCAAACCTGCGACTTGCCCAGTTTGCCTCATTCTCTCCCGTCCCTTTGCTGACCAGTCACACACCTTCCCTAGCAGGCCGATCTGGGTTGGTGGGGGAACCCCAACTGGGAACCAGAGTAAAGCTACCCACTGTTCTCATGACCCACTCCACCCACTGACGGGTCCCTGGCCCAGTGTCGGGGGTAATTGAGAGTGTAGCGGGGGCTCCCAGGTTTCAGTCTTGCTGCATCATTCAAGGGAAATCACCCAGTTGGGCTCACTTGTCTCCGAGGGCAGCTCTGGCACTTGTAACCTCAATGCAAATCAGTGCCGTTTGGTATGGGTGGAGGAAGCTTGCCAGCTTCTGTGCTGGAGCCTGATCTCTCCAGGGCCTGAGCGCCCTCTGCTGTTGTCTGCTGTGGAGGCCCAGCCAGAAAAGCACATGCATGGGAGTAACCGAGAATAAGTAGTAGTGCAGTCTAGTGGATGGGTATTAGGAGACCTGAGTGACTTTGGACAAGACACTTCCCTGCTCAGTGCCTCAGTTTCCCCTCCCACCATCTATCTGTTTTATCTGTGTAGATTGTGAGCTCTCTGGGACAGGGTCTGTCTGTACAGTGCCTGACACAATGAGGCCCTGATTTTGGCTCTGCTGTGATCTAAATAACACTGAAGGGAGTGCTAGAAAACGAAGGTACCCAGGGATATCTGAGGATGATGTGTCAGCTGCAGAGATGGGGGTGGCAGGGTGACTTTCCTCTCCTCACCTCTCCTTCTTGCCTTCCTCTCCAGGCTTATCTGGGAACCCAGCAGATCTGGAAAAGCGGAGGCAGGTCTTTGGCCAGAACTTCATCCCGCCCAAAAAGTCCAAGACCTTCCTGCAGTTAGTCTGGGAGGCGCTTCAGGACGTCACACTGATCATCTTGGAAATCGCAGCCATAATCTCCCTGGGCCTATCGTTCTATCACCCCCCAGGCGGTGAAAGCGAATGTGAGTGCCCCACGGCTTGGGGGGAGAGGGGGGAGTGGCAGTGTCTCCTGGAACGTTCGCTCAGAACTGGTATGGAAGGGGTTGGTCTTGCCAGGAGCGGCACCATCATATCTCCTGGGCTGTATCATCTGTGTTCTGGAAAAGGGTCTCTGGTCGCTGCTTTAGGCTTCCTCTTTAGGATCAATCCTCCGCTGGTGTGACCCTGGAGTTCCACCAGCTTCAGTGGCGCTATCTGGATTTGCACTAGCTGGGGATCTGGGGCCTCATTTCCCCCTGCCCCGGCACACATGCTACCTGATTGACTAGTAAGCAGATTTTCCCTAGCTGAGTTCCCTAACATACAGCTGACATCACTGTGTTTTCCTGCCTGTTTCCTCGCCAGCACACTCCTACCGCTGTACAGCTAGATGCTAGAGTGCTGGTTGTGACAGAAAATGCTACCATCCATGAACTGATCCAAAGCCCATTGAAGCTAATGGAAAGAGTCCCATTAACCTCGAATGGGCTTTGGGTCAGGCCCATAGACAGAAAGGGTTCGTTCCTATGTCCTGACCACATTCCATCTCTGTTAATTCTCTGCCCCTGGCAGTTTCAGGGAGATACAGGATTCACTTACTGCAACACCGTTTAGAACAGGGCCCTGTTAAACACCTTCGAGGCTCCACCTCAGAAGCGGCTGCATCTGAAGGATGGGGGAGTCAGGATTCCTGTTAATAGTGTACTGGAGAGTGCTTTGGGATTGTTTGGGCTTAAAAGGCGCTATACAGAAAGATATGAGAGCCACCTTCCGAGTGCCTCTAGTCCCTGCAAGGAGAAGTCAGTGGCACGATCCTGGCGCTAAGGGATGCTGTGGGCTGGACGTGAGACCCTAGGCTGTGGTGTGGGGGGTTTGGAAGCCAGTACTTTCCCTCCAAGCTAGACAATGGAGCTGAGTTTTCATCCTTTGGAACCATTCAGTAGAGGAGAGGAAACTGCAGCATGTCTCGTACCCTGTGCGTCTCCGCATCAGCTTATGGATCGAAATGAATCACAACTCTAAACACAAGGAAGCCAGGCAGGCTTGGCGGATGGGCTCAGAGAGGCAGGGGGGAGAAATTCTGCTCTTGGCCTGAGATAGCAAAATAATCCCAATTGGAGACCCCAAGAGAAAAACAGCTCCCTGACCAGGGGCGACAGGCTGAAGAGAGGGGATGAAGGGCAGAGGAGCGGTTTGAGTGACATGCTGATTGGGGCTTGGTCTGCACCCCTGGTGTGCGGGTAGCTAGATAAATGGAGGCAGGCCTTCACTGGTGTGACGGCAGCATGCAGGGTCCCAGCTGGTCAAAGTCCTGCCTTTTCTATGGCCCCATCTGACTCCCATCCAGCTCAGTGGGAGTCATTCCATTGCCTCAGATAGGAGTTGGAGCAGGCCCCTTGCAGCCAATACCTGATGCTTCAGAGGAAGGTGAGTCCCCAACCTGTGATCCTGGCTGTGCAGTGCTGTATGCCTAGAACAAGGGAGGAAGGTTCTCAGGACCTGTCGTGTGTGTGTGTGTGTGTGTGTGTGTGTGTGAGTGAGCTCTATCTGCCACCAAGATACCAAGCACTCACCTATGTGTTTATTAGTAGGCTTAGAAATACCTGAGTGATGGTCTGTATAGCCTAACCATACCAGATCCCTGTGCACATACATAAACCATAGCTAAAATAAAAGCACCCCCATCCCCTGAACCTCCTCATCCTAGCGCATGATCATTTACATTTTGTGTCTGTGCACTGGTGGTCATCCTGCTGTGTGCTCAGCCCCTGGGATACCTACCATGAAGCAGGCTATTCGGGGTCGATCGTAGCTGTCATGAGAGAGAGACACGTTTCCCACAGGCTGATCTCATGTCAGAGTGTATAATCTAGCACGTCATCCAGGGATCTGAGTCCTTTGCCAGAGGCATAATCAAGACTTCGCAATGTCCCTGTCAGGTGGGCTGAGAGGTGTGGTCTGACCACGTGACTTAATTCCAGCTCTGATGGGGTGCCCCTTTGTGGTTTTGGAGGTGGCTGGGCAAGGCACTTCACCTCTCTGAGCCTCTGTAAATCGGGGCCTTAATCTGTGAGGATTAATTGGTTAAGGGTTGCAAAGTTCTCTGCAAGGGCCCAGTGATGGGGCTTGCTTAGTTTTTATTGGCTGCTGTTGTGTTTCTTAGATGGTGGCTCTTTGAAGTATCAAATTGGGATAACAATTGAGGAAAGCGAGACCACAGATGGTGACTCATTCCCAAAGTCACACCTAGAGAGGGCATGTCAGAACTGTGAAAAGAACCCTGGTGTCCTGATTCCCAGGCTCCTGCTCTGTTAGCCCGGCCTCAGAAATGGCTGGATGGGCAGTATGCCCATAGGTGAAGGGGGAGACCAGAGGGAGTGACTTGTAGGAGAAAGGGACAGGAGGCATCTGTGTCTATGTGGGCCTTTCAGGCCCTTTGCTGTGCAACATGCTGATAGATGCACCGAGATCTCCTTTACGTGACTGAATCTTCCTCTTCTCTGTGCTTCCTGCCGACCGGCAGTGTGCGGCCAAGCAGCGGCGGGCACGGAGGACGAGGGGGAGGCACAGGCTGGCTGGATCGAGGGGGCAGCCATTCTCTTCTCGGTGATCATTGTGGTGCTGGTGACGGCCTTCAACGACTGGAGCAAGGAGAAGCAGTTCCGGGGCCTCCAGAGCCGGATTGAGCAGGAGCAGAAGTTCACGGTCATCCGCAAGGGGCAGGTGATCCAGATCCCTGTGGCCGAGATTGTGGTGGGGGACATCGCGCAGATCAAATACGGTGAGTGGTGGGAGGGGAGCCGGCCCACAGAGAGTTGACCTGGTCAGTTCAGGCACTCCTACCCCCTCCTGTGCCTGTCTCGCACCTTGCCCCTTCCCTCCTTGAGTTGGCTCAGTCATGGAGCTGCCCACAGTAGAAACTCAGCCGCGGGCTGCCCCCACTTGTCCCAGCATGCCTCAGGCCTGACCTTATAGGGGCTGGTGTCCGTGAAGGATAATGTCGCTAGCTCCACTCTCCCTGCCAACTTTCACCCTGGGCTCCTCACACACAGAGGCAGCGGTTGGTGCTAAGCTGAGCTCTGTGAAGTGCCTCGTGCTGTAGCCACTTCCCCAGCGGGGACTCTCACCAAATTGCTTTTGCTCAGGGTCATGCTTTCATTGCACTGAAGAAAAATGTTTCTCCAGTCAGCCATCTTCTCCCCCCACGTCCCTTTGCTGTCCATCACCCACCACTGGGAGTTCGTCTCCACAGCTACGCTGTAAGGAGTGATTTGGACAGACAGCATGGTGCTTCCTCGTGTGGTTTTGGTTTGTTTTCCCCCATCACCGTTGTGCCACAGCTTATCCATGCCTTGGGTTTCTGGGTAATCTCCCTGGCATCAGGAATTCTTCAGGCCTTGCCTCCCCAGCCGCAGACTGAGAAAAGGGCAGGATGAGCTTTGTGTCGGGCACAGACTGGCCTGTAACGTGTTCCCTCCTCTCTCAGGTGATCTGCTGCCCTCAGATGGGATCCTGATCCAAGGCAATGATCTGAAGATCGACGAGAGCTCTCTGACTGGGGAGTCGGACCACGTCAAGAAATCAGTGGATAAAGACCCCATGCTGCTTTCCGGTGAGGCCACCAGACGTGACCTGTGACCCAAGCCCTCCGCACTAGGGCTGGAAACCCCAGCCAGCTGCCCAGCCTCTGGCTGCTTTGGGGTTCGGCAGGATTCAGTTCAGACGACCCAGTGCTGGTACCCTGCCAATGCCGGCACAAGTTAGACCAGGTTCTGCGTGCCCATCCCTGGAGCATGGGCAGCAGGAGATGGCTAGATCCCTTCTGCCCATTTGTGGTCCTGGCACAGCATAGAGTGGCCCCTCAGCTACTGAACAGACCAAGAATGGTCTTTGTGGATGACCAGCCTTGGAGGGCGAATCCCCTTCCAGAGCAGGGGCAGCAGCAGAACAAGCTTCTGTTGCCCATTGCTCCCTGCCAGTGTGCTTCACCCCTGTCCTGGAGGGGTTTCTGTAGTGTGGAGGCATGCAGCTACTATGTGGGTTGGGGCCAGTATAAGAATCTAGCTAGACTGACCGTTGTGATGGCGATGCCTGTCCCATGGGAACCTGGAATGAGATCCACTTAACTTAAAACGAGGCTCTGAGCAGCCGTCATTCAAGCAATAACTTTGGGTCTCGGTTGACCTGGGCCAGATTTGAACTGGTGACCCAGAAGCAACAGGCTCTGTACCCCATCCCCCTGAGTCAGATAGTTTCTCGTGTTAAAATAGGAAGTTGACTGTTAACGTTGTCTCTTCCTGGCTCATGTTTTCCCTTCCCCTCGGTGCTTCATTCCCCTGGCCAGGTACCCATGTGATGGAGGGCTCCGGACGGATGTTAGTCACAGCTGTGGGCATCAACTCGCAAACTGGAATCATCTTCACTCTTCTGGGCGTGGGAGATGGGGAGGAGGAGAAGAAGGTGAAGAAAGGTAAGGAGATCTCTGGGAGCCCAGCTCTTTCCTTCTGGGATGCAGTGAGCTGTGTCCATGGCTGACAGCTGAGGGGGAACACGCCGGCCCGTTTAGTGTGAGTGACTGAGCTGGGCCTGTCAAGCCTTAGGAGAGGAAACTGGGGGAATCCCACTTCTGCCACCATCCGGTCATGATGCAGCGAACGCAGGGAGCACGCAGCATGAGAAGGCCCCTTCCATGCTTGGGCACCTCGGGAGCTTGTGGGAGCAGGGCTTCAGAGGCAGAAAGGGCGTGGCTCTGGAGTTGCTATCAGAGCTGGCTTTGGCAAGGAGGCTGTTGATGGGGTTACTATTGCTCCAGCCCCATGGCGGGAGGTGACTGATAGCTGAAATGATCCATGTCCTTCAGACAGTCCAGCACCCGAGGGCTTCACCAGCAGCTTCTTTCTTTCTCTCTCCATTTGTTTTTTCTCTCTTTTTCATCCAAAGACATACTCCCCAGCCCCAAGGGTTGACCTGGCAGTGTGGGGGTGGGGAAGGATGGCTAGGAGGACTTGCTTTGCTCCGCAGTCTTGACATCCTCAGATGGTAGGAGTTTGTGCAGGGAAAGGGTCACTCCTGGCTCTCTGACTTCGGTGGGTGGGGAAGTGCTCCTTCAGACCCCCCCTCCCAACATCGCATTAGGCTATTGCAAACCTTGAACCCATTCCCATCCCAGCCACTCATTTTCCCCAGGAAAATGCTGTGGGGTCTTGCGGTTAGAGGGTTCAGCCCTTTGCTCTGTCCACTCACTGGCTCCAGGTTGCTCATAAGCTCCTTGCAGTGGTATGAGCTACAGCGCTAGGCTGATCCCCGTGCTGCTGTCTGAATCCCTGGTGTTCTGAAGGCCGACTGCACTCTGGGGGGGAGCCTGTGTGTGTGTGTGTGTGTGTGTGTGTGTGTGTGTGTGTGTGTGTGTGATGCAGTGTGTGCCCACAGGGTCGGGGAGGGGGGCACATCTTGTCAGGCTGCGTCGCTCACCTACGCAGCACCGACTGTGCCAGAATCCAAACACCGCCCTGCCACCACTCCGATGTCTTGCTGCTAATTCCACCCACTCCGCCCCGATCCCTACCGATCACAGATGGCTCAGAACCGTGGAGCCTCCTTTCTGGAGCTCCGAGATGATCCAGCCACTCCCCACTCGCTTTGGGGTTTACAGGGTGCTCGAAAGAGGCCGGAGCTCATTTGGGGGGGGTGGGGGGTGCTTGCGATGCAGCGTCGTGGCATGATGGCCTTCGCGGCAGCATGTCTCCATGCAGGCAATTCATAGCCCTGCCAAGCTAATTGGGCCAAGACTTGGCTTTGGGCACATAGGCAAAGCATCACTGTGCTTTGGGGGAGCCCCATCTTCGGAGCTCGGGTCTATGGGGAGAGTGGTGGGGCTCCCACATAGACAGTCTAAAACTCCTCCCACTCCCCACCTTCTGATTATTTATTTTGTATTGTTTGTCCTGCCTCAGGACAAGTGACTCTGCTGGCCAATGGCTAGAGGAGGCTGGGCACAAAATGGGGCTGGAGGGTTGAGCTGGAAGAGAAGCCTGTGGGTGCATCGTGCCCTTGTACTTACATCGCAATCTGCTAGGCAATGACGCTCGAGCCCCCTGGGCTTTGCCGCCAAACAGAAACCAGACAGGGAGTCAGATCCTCAGCTGGTGTAAATCAGTTTAGGTCTATGGGAGTCCATGGATCAACACCAATGTACACTAGCTAAGGATTCCAGCTTCTGAAAGTGTGTCTGGTGTTTCCTTGCTCCCTGGTAGAGGCCAGGGTGTAAGTGGCAGAAGGTATGTGGCTTATCAAAGCAGTCCAATGCTCCCTCGCGCGCGGTCCACAGAACAGGCTTTTGTGCTCTCGATCCGCTTTGGCAAACCATCCGGGGATTAGTAAAAGGGACCGGATGATGGGCTCTCCGCCGTCTCCCCTACAGAATGGCTGCTAATGGACAGTGCTTGTCAGAAGGATTACGGAGGACAAGGCAGAGTGAGTGGAGAGGCAGCCGTTCATCTCCCCTCCCGCTAGCCAGACAATCCTGTATCTCTCATCTCCAGAGAATCACTCCTCTTGCTCAGGGAGTAGTCTTCTGTCTCGCTTTTGAAGCTGTTCCTTCTGTCTCAGGAAGTGGCGCCCAACTTCTTATTTATTCTGCTTCCTGAATGTCACTTGGCATTTCCCCTGTCCCCGGGCTGTAGCGTTTGCTGACCGTGCTTGACATCCGGTGCTGTCCCCAGATGTTGAAAGCAGGGGATGGGTGGGCCGAGGGTGTTGTCTCTCGGGGCCCATTTCTCTCCATATCACTGGGCAGGGGGTTGTCTGGATAAATAGTCCAACTTCAGACCCACCAGGCAAAGCCCCTCCGTCCTGCAATGCAGATTTGTTCCCAACAGCTCTTGGCTTCTTGTTACTGTTTGTATCACAGTAATACCCAGGGACCGTAGTCCTAGTCAGGGTCCCATTGTGCTCGGAGTTGTGCATTCACAAAACAGACAATTCCTGCCCCAAAGAGCTTCCAAACTAAGTCTAAGACTGTTTCATTGTTACTTGTATTGTGGTAATCCAGATGGGTTGTCTGAGCTGGAGCAGTTTTTAGACGAACAGGAACTACGGGCTTGATGCAGAAATCAGCATGCGGATCTCTGGCCGGCGTTCTGCAGTTCCAATGATCACAATGCAGGTCCCAGCTAAGATCAGGTTCCCTTTGTATTAGGTGCTGTACAAACACATAGACAACCCCACTCATGACAAGCTCATACACTAAAGAGATGAGACCACAGGTGGAAGAAGTGAAGTAGTATTTTCTCCATTCCAGATTGGAAATTGAGGCACAGGGAGATGGAAGTGACTTGCCCAAGGTGTCACGGAGTCTGTGGCAGAGCAGGGAGCTGAGCCCAGAGCTCCTGAATCCGACCCCAGTGCCTTACCCACGAGACCAGCCTTCCTCTGGCAGAGGCTTCCCCTGCCCTGTGGCTAAATGCTCTTTCCAGCAGCAGGGAGAGGAGGGTTGAGACCTGGCAGGAGAAATCCTCATTGGCTTTTATGGGTGGGCGGCACCTTTGATCTCCTGAGTCCTGGCCAGTTACACGGAGCCCAGCCGCTGTGTGGGATTCCTGCTGTGTGAGTGCCAGTGTAGAGAGCACCCAGGGTGTGTCCTGCCGGCAGGGACGTTAATGTCGAGAACCGTGTGCTCAGCACTCCACCCTTTTTCTCTTTGTCTGAACAGGTAAAAAAGCAGGAGCCCCTGAAAATCGCAACAAAGGTAACCAGCCTCTCCATCCTTTGAACCAGCACCACACTAACTACCAAGCATTCCTCCTTCCTTCTTCCCATGAGTCTGTGCTCTTCGCCGCTGCAGCGGGAATCTCGCCTTGTTGTCCCAGAAGAGGGTGTAACAGTCCCCACAGTGCTAACCTCCACGCTTCCTTTACCCCGACCCCCAACCATCCCGTCCAACTAGGGGCCAGCCTCAAACCCCAGGTCTGTGCTGCTGGAGTTGCAGCGCCCTCTGCTGTCAGCCTAGGGTTCTGATGGCAGGGGTTTGGTTTTTTTGCCCCCCACCATTGGTGCTGTGAGTGGGGGATGATGGTTCTTTCTGTGCCCCATGCGGTGGCCTGGCCTCTTCTGGGAGGAAGACAAATAACAGCACATTGAGATCTGTGGGGCAGGAAAAGTGGGAGAGTGGAAGGGGGAAGCCCCATTGTTCAGGTAGGCTTAACATCAGCCTAGACATAGACCGTTGGGACTATCTGCCCTGGATGGTTCTGCCCTGTCTCTGATCTGGGATATCAGTTTCCACTGCCACTTTGTACCAGCAGGAAATTGACCACGTGGGATTGTTCTACAGCACAGCAGCTAGTGGTTCCTCCCTCCATTGTTCCTGGATGAATGGGACATGGAATCTAGTGAGGAGAGTGCTTCGTGGCAAATGGGGTGGTGGGGACGGGGTTTTAGTCTGAGCATGAAGTGCTGCTCCCCTCCCCCAAGTTTGGAACTTGATCAGTGGTGGGTTTGGCCTGTGAAACTGTTACACCCTGTTCTTCTCATGGCCTTTTTGAATCAAAGTGAGCGTCTACTCCTCCAGTATGTTTCTCACAGTGTTCTTTCCAGGCTGTGTAGAGGAAGCCCATTTCTGCACCTGTCTGTTTCTCCACCTCTCTCTCTCTCTCTCTCTCTCTCTCTCTCTCAGCAGTTTACGTTTCCTTCCTTCCAATCTGACATGTTGGGTTGTTTTGGGTTTGTGGGTGTTCTGGTTTTGTTCCCTCCTCCCCCCCATTTCTGTTCTGTCTGAAAGTCCTAACCATGGAGGTCACAATTTTGGAGCAACCGTGAGTTCTTCTGAATCCATAACACTTTGTAGTGGAGGCTAGAAAGGGGAATCTGCTTTGAAACAGTTGGATCCGTATGTGAACCACGACTTGTCTGAGTTGTTTGGATTTTTTTTTAAACCCAAGAACAAGAACTGAGATGAAGCAAATAACTTCCATTATTATTGTGGGGTTTTCTACTCGTCTTCACACCCACACACCCACCCACACAGACACCCACACACACCCACACACCACTTCCTGTTTCGTTGGTGCTCTTTGGGTTCAAATACTCACAAGTGTAGGCCAGCGTAGCTCTATAGCCCTGGGGGGGGAGCTATATCTGGCTGCACCATCTGAGGATTTGGCCTTTTTATGTCTTAAGGATCCTAAAGAAATTTTTGGGCTGGATCACAGAGGGCTGAGGGTAAAGGAGCCGGTTCACTCCTCCGCATTAATGAGTCAGTCTCCACCCCCAGTCCTTAAACTTCCCTCCCCTCCATTCCACCCCCTCGAATGCTGTCTGCGTAAAGTGACTCCCGCTGAGCTTCCATGAAGGCATTAGAGAGATCATCCTTGGCACGTGTATAGAACAGGGGAACTGAGGAAAGAAAATAGCTTGTGGAACTCATTGTCACTATCTCCTGGAGGCGAAGTGCTTAGCAGGATTCCAGAAAGTACAGGACATGCATATGGATGTTAATTATCTGGAGTTATAAAATTTAGGATTAAAGATGACCAAGTGTTTTGGAAGGGATCTAAACCGTCATGCTTCAGGGCATCAAGCAGCCTCCACTGGGGGTTAGGAGGAAACTTTAATGTATTCCATAATGCCCTAGTGTAGGGGTTCCTGCACCTTCCTCCGAAGTAGCTTGTGCTGCTGGCCACTGTGGGCGAGAGGATCCTGGATTATCCTGTAATCCGATCCAGCCTGGCCATTCTGATGCTCCTGTATTCAAAGGGCTCTACAAACACTTAGCAAATTAAGTCTCCTAACATAACCATGTAAGGTAAGTATTGTCAGCTATATTTCACAGATGGGTAAACTGAGGCACGAGGCAGTGCAGGGGACTCTTGCCCAAGACCACCCAATCAGGGTCACTGGCAGAGCTGGGACTAGAACCCAGGAGTCCCATATCCTACTAAGGCAGTCCTTCCTCCCTGGTGTAGTCAAGTAGAGACGTTTTTTCCTTACCTGGGAAGTGGGGTTGGGAGGGCAAGTGAGCAGATCCCACGAGCTGTTCCAGGCACTTGCCCTATGGGGCGGTGGGGCAGGCTCCCTGGGGTTGTGTAGGCTTTAACCTTTAGTGTTTGCCTGTGTGGGCTAGGGGAGTCTTTTTTGCTCTAGGTTTCTTTCTCTCTCTCTCTCTCTCTCTCTCTCCCTCCTCCATCTCTGTCAATGGCGTCAAAAGCTTTCCCCCGCTGCCCCTCCCACTCACCCACTGTGTCTCTTTTGCCCCCGGGGTGTAGCTAAAACTCAGGATGGCGTGGCCCTGGAGATCCAACCCCTGAAGAGCCAGGAAGGGGTGGAGAATGAGGATAAGGAGAAGAAGAAGGTGAAGGTCCCGAAGAAGGAGAAATCGGTGCTGCAAGGGAAGCTCACCCGTCTGGCGGTGCAGATTGGGAAGGCAGGTGAGCCTGGATGAGGTGGATCTTGGCTCTCGGACAGCTCCACACTGGGCTTCTCCCCCGTGATGTAGTCGTGGCAGGATGTTCCACTAGATGTATTGGCTGTGACCGTGAGGGACAGACAGCGCTGGTTAGAGACTGGCATGGTGTGAGACGGTCCCTCAACTGGCTCCGCTGCTGCCCCTCAGTCCTAACCTGCAGCACGTCCTGCTATTCCATCCTTGGATCCCCACACTCAGCTTTGCTGACGCCCCTTCATCTCACCAGTCCCCCCTGCTATTGCTGGCTTGGGGACTCCCCAGGCCTATCTCTGCTCATGCCCCTCAGTCCTGAACTCCAGCTCTCCCCTGCCATAGTCTAGTCCTAGGTCTCCACATAGCTCTGCTAATGCACCTCCATTTTCACCTGCAGCCCCTCGGCTAGTCCAGCCCTGGGAGTCCGTGGGATCAGAGACCCTGCTGTGAACACACTGAAATGCCGGGGCAGGTTTAGGTGTGGATGGACACACAGGCAAAGAGCCCTCAGGGCTCATTCTGCACAGGTCACTTCAGCAGGATTCAAGGCCCGGGGAAGCAGAGCTCCAAGAAACTCCTGTCAGCGCGGCTTTCCCATCTCGATCCCCAGCCTAGGAGTGTTGGGGGGAGTGCCTGTTGCTGGGAGGTGGGGGCATCGCTACAGGTCCCGCTGGCCTCTCACCTGTCTCCTCCCCTAGGACTGATCATGTCAGCCATCACGGTCATCATCCTGGTGCTGTACTTTGTGATCGACACCTTCGCGGTGCAGCGCAGGCCCTGGCTGGCGGAGTGCACCCCCATCTACATCCAGTACTTTGTCAAGTTCTTCATCATTGGTGTCACTGTGCTGGTGGTGGCCGTGCCTGAGGGCCTGCCCCTGGCTGTTACCATCTCCCTGGCCTACTCAGTCAAGGTGAGGCCACAGCCTGGGCGGGGAACGGTGGGGTGGCTGTGTTCACCACGAGGGCAGGGGTGGTTCCCCCTCACCAGAGGGCTGGGGCTGGGGGAGTGTTGTGCGGAGGACAGTAGTGGGTGCCCATCTTCACCAAGGCGTATAGAGGGAGCGCTATGTTCACGATGGCTAGAAGGGCTTTGGTGGGGCAGAGTGCAGCTGGGGGTGGCTCTCCTCCCCACAGGAAGGCCGGGAGCGGAGGAGGCAGAGGCCTGTTTTTTCCCATCTGTTGTGCAGTGAGGCCAGCGCTGGGCCGTGTTAGCTGCTGGGTAGGGAAAGGGACTCTCAATTGCTCTGCTGCTATTCCCCTGCCCAGCGTCCTGTTCTCCCAAACAAACCCTCTCTTCCCCTCGTTCTAAGTAAGCCAGGAGCCTGGCCCGGCACTGCTGGGGACGCACGTGGCAATAGTGCTTCCTGCCAAGCCAGCGGAGAGCCCCAGAGTGGAGCTGGGAGGGCATGCTGGTGTTGTGCTGGCTCTATAGAGATGGCATCCCTCACTGAGGTGATGCTGAGTGCAGCGGCCCACGGCCCCCCAGTTCCTCTGTGTTCCCAGTGCCCTTGGCTCCAGAATCTGCCTGCCTGTGGGGTGCGAAGCATGGCTGTGCGCCCTGTGAAGACACGGGTGGGGAAAAGCCTACCTGCCTCTTAACGCTTTCACTGCCTGTCTTGCACCCCGCTGCAGAAAATGATGAAGGACAACAACCTGGTGAGGCACCTGGACGCCTGCGAGACCATGGGCAACGCTACGGCCATCTGCTCGGACAAGACGGGCACGCTCACCATGAACCGCATGACCGTGGTGCAGGCCTACGTGGGTGACACCCATTATCGGCAGATCCCCGACCCTGAAGCCATCCTGCCCAAGGTCTTGGACCTCATCGTCAATGGCGTCGCCATCAACTCAGCCTACACGTCAAAGATCCTGGTGAGTTGTCCTTCCTCTGCTACTCTGACAGCACTGCTTCTAGCCCCTCCCAGAGCTCAGGTGGCTGGCGACCATCCAAAGGAACAGCACAGGAAAAACACGGGGCTATGATAGGATATGGAGGATGGGGTGTAAGATCTACTCCCTGGTGAACAAGGGTTTAAGAGCAGCTTAGCACCCTTTGTGTCCTCTACACAGCTGGTCAGAGGATCTAGTTCAAATAGGCATGAATGGCCCCTGTTATGCAGGAGGTCGGACTAGATCAGGGTAGGCAACCTATGGCACGCATGCCAAAGGCGGCACGCAAGCTGATTTTCAGTGGCACTCACACTGCCTAGGTACTGGCCACCGGTCTGAGGGGCTCTGCATTTTAATTTAATTTTAAATAAAGCTTCTTAAACATTTTAAAAACCTTATTTACTTTACATACAATAGTTTAGTTATATATTATAAACTTATAGAAAGAGACCTTCTAAAAACGTTTAAATGTATTACTGGCACACGAAACTTTAAATTAGAGTGAATAAATGAAGACTCGTCACACCACTTCTGAAAGGTTGCCGACCCCTGGACTAGATGATCAATGGTCCATTTTCCCCTTAGAATCTGTGACTTTCCGTCACCTTGCACAGGCTTTTACACTGATGCGGTGATATGTGATGGCGCGTGCAGAGAGTCTGAAACAATGGGCCAGGTCCCCAGCCGGGGTTTACACCTCTTAGTGCTCCGGGGCTGGGGTTGACCTCAGTGGTGCTATCCTGATTTGCACTAGCCAAGGATCTGGCTCCAGAGCTCTAAGAAGTGGAATCTACTCCCATTCATCTTGGTGCGTTAACTCTGGACCCTGCTGATCACAATCTAAAAAATTCAACATCCATTCTATCCCTGCAGATCAGACTTCCAACTCCTCCCCCTTCCCCCATCTCAGTGGGCCTGGCCGGGAAGATTTTATTGACTTTTATTCCCCCCCTTTCTGCCCACTTTGGGAACTTCTTAGCCACCAGAAAAGGAAGGGGGTCTCCCGCGGCAAGTGGGAAACAAGACGGAGTGCTCCCTGCTGGGCTTCGTCCTGGATTTGAAGCAAGACTACCAGGTGGTTCGGAACGAGGTGCCAGAGGAGAAGCTCTACAAGGTCTACACCTTCAACTCGGTGCGCAAATCCATGAGCACGGTCTTGAAAAACTCGGATGGCAGCTTCCGCATGTACAGCAAAGGGGCCTCTGAGATCATCCTACGCAAGTAACTACCCTCCCCTCCTACGTTGCTGAGTAAGCCATTCCCCTGTTGGAGCCACTAGTGGTGCTTCTGAATGCAAGTTCTCCAGCTGTGCTCCACAGGCCACTGATGGTCTGGGGAGCCCTTCCCAGAATGAACCCAGCATTTGGGGGGCGGGGGGGTATTGCAGTGGGGAGGGAAGATATGTGAGCGATCTCTCATGTGGACATACCTGCAGAACAGAGAATAATAATCCCTAGTTCTTCTATAGCACTTTTTTTTTTTTCATCTGTAGATCTCGAGCACTTTACAAAGGTGATCAGTATCATTATCCCCATTTTACAGATTGGGGAAACTGAGGCCCAGAGAGAGGTGACTGGATTGGTCACCAAGCAGACTGGGAATAGAACCCTAGTCTCCCAAGTCCTGGTCCAGTGCACTATCCACTAGGACACACTGCCTCTGGGAAAGCTTCAGGTAGCACCTAGTGAGGTGAAAGGTTCTCTGCCATCTTTGAGCCTGCATGGGGCAAATAGAAGAGCATTGCCCCATACAAGACAGCCCCGTGGCTTCATCCTCAGTTGCCTGGTATAAAATACAATATGTTAATCGGGGCTCAAGCGGAACCTCTTGGGAGGGAGCTGGACATATTTGCTGTGTAATTATTTTGTCACTTCTACTGCTGCCTTTGCTCTCCTGGCAGCCAAAATGCCGTGCAAGAAGCTGTGGTGGTGTCTGCAGCCAGGTAGTGCCATACATCAGGTAGGGAGTGTGTTCCAGAGAGATTCCCAGCCCAGCTTTGCAGCCCAGAGAATCTAGGCTGGTTCAGGGAAGGAAGCATCCACCTCTTTCTTTCTGTGAGCTCACCTGAAAACTCTTGGGGTTCATGCCTAACGGACAGATGAGAGGGGCTTGCTAAATCTCTGTGGCACAGTCTCTTCTGCTGTGTGGTTGAGGGCTGGGAGGCTTGCGCCTCTCTCTCTAGTTCGTCTGCAGATGCCGAGCCGTCTCTCTGTTAACTTCTGAAACCTCTGCCGTGTGCAGGTGCACAAAGATCCTGGACAAGAACGGGGACCTGCGGGTGTTCAAGGTGAAGGACCGGGATGAGATGGTGAAGAAGGTGATTGAGCCGATGGCGTGCCAGGGGCTGCGCACCATCTGCCTGGCCTTCCGCGACTTCCCTGCCGACGCCGAGCCTAACTGGGACAGCGAGAACGAGATCGTGTCTGACCTGGCCTGTATCACCGTGGTCGGCATAGAGGACCCTGTCCGGCCAGAGGTACCACAACGCCACCTTGACACGGGCCGTTCGGCTGCTTTGCTGGCTGTGCGTCCCTTCCCCACCCCGCTGCGGGCATGAGCTCTGTGCCCCTTGGTACGCTGCTGCTGTGGGGTGATGAGTGAGGTGGCTGGGGCATCCGCACCCCACAGAAATGTCCTGCAGTGTGCCGTGCATTGTCTCCCCCGGTCCCTGTGCCATGTGAGTGCCTATTCCTGAGGTGCCCTCACTCTATGCCACTATTTGGAGCGCCTGGGGTGTGCACTTCCCTCCCTTGCCTGTATACCAGGCGCCAGTGGCAGGCGTATCCCCGCAAAGGCATCTTGGTCCATGCCAAGTGTCTGGGCGCGAGCGCTTCTCCAGTGCCAATGTCCAGGGGAAGGGTGTGTTGCCAGAGGTTGCAGAGAAGCCAGGCGGAGAGTGCCACAGGTGAAAGGTTAACAGGCGGGGGGAGGGGGGGGGAGAGGAACTGATTTGCTGCCCCCTAGGGTGGGAGAGTACCTTTTACAGGAACCTGTTTTCCCCAGCGACACCCACCCACTCCTTCCTCCCTGTTCTTTCTCACTGCTCGCCTGGGGGTGACAGACAGATCCCTGGGTTAACGCAATAAGCAGTCCCATGCCTGCCTCTTGATTACATTTTGGAGCCTGCCTCGCTCTCATCTTTCCCTAATTAGACGTTGAAGTATCTGGGCTCAGGAATCGCATTACAGATGCCCAGTCTGCACCGGCTCTGGAGGCCATGATTCAATTTGCTGATTTCTCAGTAATGTTTACACACACACACACTACCCCTGCTCAGGCTCGTTCTGTCTGAGATAAACCCAGGAGCGCAGCGATTTGCTGCTGCAATCAGAGAGGCCAGGCCAGGAGAGGGCTGGGCTGCTGTCAACATGCCATCCTGCAGAGCAGGAGAAATAAAACGTCCCACGTCTTGATTGGATTGCTCATCCGTACCTCAGCAACGGAGGTTCCTGAGCGCTGTGGCATTGTGTGGAGGAGGCAATGAGGTTACGTCTCCCTGGGGGCAGTAGAGGAACGGCACCACAGCCAATTCCAGGAATGGCTTTGAACAGACCTCCTAGAACCGTGGAGAGAACGAGCTACTTGGTTCAGAACCGCTCAGCCAGCGCCTCCTACACCGAGCTTAGAAGTGAGCCGGCTCCTGCCAAACTCTCAGTAACTTGAGTCCCCTGTGCGCAGCCTGGTACGATGGGGTTCCAGTGCTTCTCTGTTCTTCTAAAGTGCCCTTCGCCACAGCGTCTGGGCTCCATAGACCCGATGCGCCATGCCCCGCCTCCCTGCTCCTGTGGAGCAAGATGGAGACTCTCCGCCCTGCCCTCGAGTTAGCCGCCGCCTGGTTCTTGACTCCAGGGGGCCAGTGCCGAATCAACCACCCCATGGGCTTGGAGGACAAGGTGTAGAAGCAGGACTTTGGTCCTTCCTGATCTCTAGTTCTTGGGGATTCCTCCATCTGGGGCCGTCCTCCCAGGCTGCCCTGAGCCTTCCACCCTACGCAGCATCCCTCTGCGTGATCCTGCTGTCAGTGGCCGGCCCAGCCCAGCGGTGTATTGGGACCAAATGAGGCCTGAATTCACCAAAACTCGAACGAACCTGCTACTCCAACACTCTCAAAACATCTCTCAGGCCCACCCTGGGCTCCTTGATCTTCATCCCCTGGACCTTCTCCCTGGATGGGCTCTTCCCAGCAGCCTTGCGCACCCAACTTTCCCAGACGCTGCTCTTCAATTTGCCCTGGCTCGCTGCTGGCCAGGATTCCAGCAATCCTGCCTTAATCTGCCACTCATTCCCAGCGAGGCCTCCTGCTGCATCACAGCTGCTAGCGTGTCCCTTGTAGGCCAGTGTTTCTGTGCCAGTGCCCGTTACCCCCATCCCCCCATTCATGCTGTCCAGGTGGGGCTCCTTGAGTCTGTCTGACCCTATGGGTTTGTTTTTCCCCAGCTCCTCTTTTTTCCGGTCTGTCTCTCTTCCCCCTGTTCCCCCCGGCTGTCTCTTTCCCACAGTGTCTCTCTCTCTCTCTGACCTTGCCCTTAGGTGCCAGAGGCCATCGTGAAGTGCCAGCGTGCTGGCATCACCGTCCGCATGGTGACAGGTGATAACATCAACACCGCCCGTGCCATCGCTACCAAGTGCGGCATCCTGCTGCCCGGGGAGGACTTCCTGTGCCTGGAGGGCAAGGAGTTCAACCGGCTCATCCGGAACGAGAAGGGAGAGGTAGGAATACAGATAAGGGACCCTGCCTCTGTATGAGTCACTCGGGGGCCCTGGGCAATGGACTCCAGGGGCATCTTCAGAAGCATAGCCTGCTGACAAAAGGTGCTGTTAGCTCCGAACCGTAGACCTGGAAGTGCAGCATATGGAGGTAGCCTCTTGCTCCTGCCTAATACGTGGCCTCTTGGACCAAAACTGAGCTGGACCTAGCTGGGTTTTTAATGCTTCGGGTGCTTGTCATGGAGAGCTGTCAGCTCAGCTAGCATCAGCTGGGGCTCCTAGCCAGCTTGGCCAGGGACCAGTGACCCCTGGAGGACGCCTGGGCTCTAGACATGCCGTGGGAGAAACAGTTGAGTTGAGGTGAAGGGAACATCCAGTTCTCATTCCCCATCCTGCCCTACCGAATGATCCTTTGCTCTCAATAGAGCTGGACAAAATGTTTCAGTGACTAGTTTATTCACTGTAAAATGCCGTTTCAGGTTGACCGAAACTGTTCAAGAGTTTGGGTCAAATTCCGCCTATCATTTCAGCTGGGGGGAAAAAAGGAGGGAAACTTTTTGGAAAAAGTCGAACTACACCTCTATCTCGATATAACGCTGTCCTCGGGAACCAAAAATTCTTACCGCATTATAAGTGAAACCGCGTTATATTGAACTTGCTTTGATCCACCGGAGTGCGCAGCCCTGCCTCCTGGAGCACTGCTTTACCCCGTTCTATCCGAATTCTTGTTATATCGGGTCGCGTTATATCGGGGTAGCGGTGTATTTTAATTGGATATTTTTGCTAAATGAACCATTTTGACTTTGTGTTTTGAAATCGAGCTGGGGAAAAAAACTCCACACCCGAAAACTAAACTAAACCTTTTGGACCCACACTGAATAGTTTGTTTTTCAGTTTTTCTTTTCGGACAGCGAATCGAGTAATCAATGATTCACTCGGCTCTAGTTTTCAAACGCCTGCCTGGCCAGGTGACCGACTCAACGTCTCTTTCTTGGTTGGTCCTGCAGGTGGAGCAAGAGCAGCTGGATAAAGTCTGGCCCAAGCTGCGAGTCCTGGCCCGTTCCTCCCCCACGGATAAGCATACGCTTGTGAAAGGTAAGGGCAACCGGAGAGCCAGCACACATGCTCCTGCACAAATGCCCACAGGGTACGGAACATCGAGCAGGACTCCTGTGTTCTTTTCCCAGCTCTGCCATTGGCTCACTGTGACTTAGAGCAAGATGCTTTTTTCCCCCATCGTCCCTTGTGCCTCACATTTTTTCCCCCATCTGTATAACAAGGCTAATTGGTGCTGATCATCTTCCTAGGGGGGCAGTAAGGCTTAACGACTGAGATCCTTGCAGGGAAGGTGATCTGGAAGGGTGAAGTATCAGCAGTATCCTGCCGGAGGTGCTGGGGGTGCAGCTGCACCCCCTGGCTTGAAGTGGTTTCCTTCATATACAGGGTTGACAGTTTGGTTCAATGGCTCTCAGCACCTCCCTCCCCCCCCCCCCATATAAATAGTTCCAGCACCCTTGCCAGAAGAGATGCTGGATGAGTCTTAAAACAGTGCCTGTCCCCAAGGAGAGAGGCAGCCCTGCAATATTCAGTGGCTGACAGGTGTCCGCGTTAAGAGAAGTTGTGCCACTGTTGTATCATTGCCACTTTGTGCAGATCTAATGATTCCCAGGCCAACTGCTACCCAGTGCAGCTCCATCTGTGCGAGGAGCCCATGCTGGGGCCTATTTCCTTTGAACCCTGTGTCTGTGTTTCAGGAATTATTGACAGCACTGTCGGAGAGCGGCGGCAGGTGGTGGCCGTGACTGGGGATGGGACCAATGATGGCCCAGCCTTGAAGAAAGCTGATGTCGGCTTTGCTATGGTATGGAAGAACAAGGGTCTTTCTCTGTGTGCTGCATTGTTAGGAAACATCCTATGGATTTGAAGAGGAATGGAAACCTTTATGTGGTATAGGAATCACTCAAAGGCTCACAGGATGTAATACAAGAGATCATTTTAATCATCCTATAGAATTTTATCCCTGCTATAAAATTCTCTATTAAATTCCATAAGATAGTTTTGTAACCATCACCTCCCTGCAAAATTTTTGATTAAGTGCTATAGGATTTTTGCCACAAGGGTCCTGGAAAATATCCCATGCCGAGAAACAATCCTCTTATCCTGGCTTAAAGACAGACCCTCCCTCCTTTTACGTTCTTAAAGGGATATTGTCAGATTAAGAATCATGGCCTTAACTTTCAAACGTGGCTGCTGAAAGCTAATGTCCTAAACCCATACATAGGCACCTAAATAAACAGCCTGGTTTTCATATATGCTTGGGACAATGGTAGGTGCAGATGTTCAGCACCTCTGCAAATCAGCCACATGTATTTAGGAGCCTGACTTAAAGGATCCAGGCCTGGAGTTACTGACCCAAACTTAAAATAAACAACCCCAGATCTTTCTTATCTTTATGATTAATGCATTCGCTTATTTACCCAGAAAGAATTTGAAAATCTAGTTCACTCTGTGCTGTTAACTCTGTTTGCCTACTTTTTTGCATTTCTTTCAAATGGTACCATGAAAATAGACTGGTCATTTTCCCTTGTTTGTAGTCCGTTTTATGTTCAGGTTCGGGTACACTAGCATAAGGCCGCAATGTTTGGGTTGCAGCCACTACAGAGGAATGTATGTATGTTTAAACAAATTCCTTTTCAGATTTTTTTAAACAAAGATCTCTTGGAAGCCATTTTGCAGGCCTTGGATTTTAAAGGGTTTGCAGTCCCATTTAATCCTCCAGAGCCCCTGCAACATCAACATTTTCTCTTGCTCTCACTCATTGATTTAGTCCAAGCAATGGACTTGATCGCTGGCTAAAACTAAGGTCTTGAATCTGCATGCTAGACACGGGAGTTCCACAACTGGAGAGGTGACTGGATCGGGGGCTGAAATCTGGTGACCCGTCCTTTTGGGGCTGAATGTTGTGCTGAGAATTGAAAAGAAGGGCTGTCCTGCTGCAGTCTGGGGATAGACTTTCCCACAGGAACAGGAAACTAAGAGCCCCTTACTGCATCTCTCTGACTATGGACTCCGGAGACTGGGAAACAAACAACATGGTCAAAATTCAGTTTCACGTTTGCCCTCCTACCAAAACCAGGGAATTCACAGCTAGGGACAGAATCTCCCAATACCCAGGCTCAACAGGACCCAGCAGGAGAACATTAGGGAAAATGGTTAAGCGGCTCCCACTTAACACATCTCCTGGCAATGGCAGCATTTGTGCAAACTGAGCACCGTCTAGTGCCCACTACTGATTACTGCAGCCTGATCACTTTTAAATGTCCATTGTGTAGTGCCTTAAATGTATGTGGCACTTTGCAAAACAAACAGAGGGAGTCTGTGCCCCAGAGAGATAGCAGTGGGCACAGGGGTCCACCTCCGTTTGGTGCTTATTGCCGGATTACAGCCTAAATTAAGACCAGAGGAGCAGGGGGAAGTGACAAACACAGGGGAGAGTAATCCTCCGAGACCTTTACCAGCAAATGAACTATATTGGGTGCAATTTTGGGGGGAAGCCCATCTGTTCCTCTGGAGCTCCCTACCAGAGAGAGAGAGCACTTCTGAATCCCAATGGTCTCTGTTTGTATGAATGTTTAGCAAAAAGGATGGAGGGGAAACAGCTACTTTTAAGCCACTTTGTGTGGCTATTAGCCATAGCATTAACCTCCGAAGGCCCACAAGCCTCCTGCTCGGGCAGCAGCATGCCAAGGGCTCGAGGAGGAAGTCACAAGATGGTTCAATATTCTATGCACCCACCACTGTAAAGCCCGGTTTGGAGGCAAATCAACCCTAAAGCAAATGCTTCTGTTCCTTTACGGAGGTGTAACAGCAGGCAGCATGACCCAGTGTTGAGGACACAGTACTGGGATGAGAGAGCCCAGCGTTCTGTTCCAACTCTGCCTCTGACCTGCGTGACCTTCAGCGAGTTACATCCCCTCCCGTGTACCTCATTTTGTTCCTCCGTAAGATGGGGGCGATGCCACTGAGCGGCCTTGGTCTAACGCTTTGCGATCCACAGATGGAAAGCGCTTGCGTGCTCAGCAGTATTGTTACTACTATTGCTGTGTGCTCCCTTTCAGCACTCTGTGTAGTAAGAGATGCTGGCAGGGGATCCACCACCAGAATTGACAGCCTGCTGTTCCCACATGGGAAGGAAGGTGCTTGGTGCATGGGACGTAGGAAGCTGTTCCAAGCATAGAGGGTGTCCTGTAAAGATGGAGGTGGGCCTAGTCTGATCTGGATCCAAACCTCCAAGGCTTGTCGGCGTTGTGAGACAGGCCTGTCTCTGGAAAGAAGCCAAGCACCGGTGTGGGGAGATGGACAGTTTGCCCAGTGACCCCCAACTATACATATAAAACGATGGGTCTAAATTAGCTGTGACCACTCAAGAAAGAGATCTTGGAGTCATTGTGAATAGTTCTTTGAAACCATCCACTCAATGTGCAGCGGCAGTCAAAAAAGCAAACGATGTTGGGAATCATTAAGAAAGGGATAGATGATAAAACAGAAAATATCATATTGCCTCTATATAAATCCAAGGTACGCCTGCATCTTGAATACTGCGTGCAGATGTAGTCGCCCCATCTCAAAATAGCTATATTGGAATTGGAAAAGCTTCAGAAAAGGGCAACAAAAATGATTAGGGGTACGGAATGGCTGCCGTATGAGGAGAGAGTAATAAGACTGGGACTTTTCAGCTTGGAAAAGAGATGACTAAGGGGGGATATGATTGAGGTCTATAAAATCATGACTGGCGTGGAGAAAGTAAATAAGGAAGTGTTATTGACTCCTTCTCATAACACAAGAACTAGGGGTCGTCAAATGAAATTAATAGGCAGCAGGTTTAAAACAAACAAAAGAGAGTATTTTTTTCAAACAACGCACAGCCAACCTGTGGAGCTCCTTGCCAGAGGATGTTGTGAAGGCCAAGACTATAACAGGGTTCCAAAAAGAACTAGGTAAGTTCATGGAGGACAGATCCATCAATGGCTATTAGCCAAGATGGGCAAGGATGGTGTCCCTAGCCTCTGTTTGCCAGAAGCTGGGAATGGGCGACAGGATGGATCAGTTGATTACCTGTTCTGCTCATTCCCTCTGAGGCACCTTGCACTGGCCACAGTCAGAAGACAGGATGTTGGGCTAGATGGGTCTTTGGTCTGACCCAGTATGGCCGATCTTATGTTCTTATGACTCATCGCCACCCTCTTCTCCACTCTGTTTCCCCTCAAGGGCATCGCAGGCACTGACGTGGCCAAAGAGGCTTCAGACATCATCCTGACAGACGACAACTTCACCAGCATCGTCAAGGCAGTGATGTGGGGCCGCAACGTATATGACAGTATCTCCAAGTTCCTGCAGTTCCAGCTGACCGTCAACGTGGTGGCGGTCATTGTCGCTTTCACAGGGGCCTGCATCACACAGGTAAGGAGGCATGGGGAGCAACCTAGTGGTTAGAACTGGATGGGACTTGAAGCCAGGAGTCCTTGGTTTGGCTGCTGACTCACCATGAGACCTAGGGCAAATCATTTAATCTCTGTCAAATGGGGGGATAATGGTATTTTGTGATGGGAGGGTTGTGGTTAAAATAATCATGGCAAAGTGTCCGGTGAGGAGCCACAGAACAGCAAAGGCAGTGGTGGTGGTTTTATGTATTGAGCGAAGAGACCACGTTCTCCATGGGGGATTCTTCTCCCTCTGCAGGACTCTCCGCTGAAGGCCGTCCAGATGCTGTGGGTGAACTTAATCATGGACACCTTTGCGTCCTTAGCCCTTGCCACAGAGCCCCCCTCAGAGTCCCTGCTGCTGCGTCGGCCGTACGGCCGCAACAAGCCCCTGATCTCCCGCACCATGATGAAGAACATCCTGGGGCACGCGGTGTACCAGCTCACCATCATCTTCACGCTGCTCTTTGCAGGTGAGTCTGAGGCCATAGGGGAGGGAGAACCTCCACACCAGCCACCCCCTCTGCCTCTAAACCAGTGAGGTGTAAATCCAGGCAGGCTGCTATCTAATCAAGCTGGGCATGTGCCCACCTACAGTGACCCCAGTTCAGTGAATCATATTGTCTGCACCAGAATCTACTAGGTGCAGAGCTCACACTGTATCCAAGGAAGTGGCTCCTTTCAGCTCTCTACTAAGTAAAGGGTTAATGAAATGAACACTTTTTTTTTTTTTTGCTGCTGGAGATGGATTGGCTCCCGGGATTCGTAATGGCCCATAGGACCTTAAAAGTCTAGGTCAGTAGTTCAGTTCTGGCCCTGCTCTGCAGCGACTGCAAGTGGCTGCTGGGTGGGACTCGGGCTAATTTCAAGAGAGTCAGCATCCACAACACAAACCGCAGCTACTGCCTGCTCTAAATGGCCTCCCTCCTTGGCCGCCTCAGCATGTAGGCCGAGAACCCAATGGGCGCTCAGCTCCCCAAGGTGGCAGCTTCATGTCGGGGATGGCAGAGGGCAGCATGAGGTGGGGGAAGGAAGCTGCTAATGATGATCCTCTTGGGACGAAGGGAGGACATGGCTATCTCTGGCTGCCTGTCCGGCATTAAATTCCCATCTGTTTAAAGACCTCCAGTGCCTCCGGTAGGGCCCAACGCGGGGACATATCCTCCCAGGTGTCTGAATGGGCTCTGCCCGGCCTATCCATGATGCACTGCACTTTGCTGATGCCCTCGGTCATGCTGAGACAGGCATCTGTTTCTCCACATTCCCTTAGTCCATCCCCCCATGTTTCCATAATCAAGCTCCTCCTGCAATTAGAAAGCCAAAGTGGGGGAAGGTCCTATCTTTTATTGGACCAACTTCTGTTGGGGAGAGACATGCTTTCAAGCTACACAGAGCTCTTCTTCAGGGCTGGGAAACTGACTCGGGCTATGTCTACAGTACATCACTCACAGCGCACTTCTGGTGAAGACTCTCTAAGCCAATGGGGGAGAGCTCTCCAGTCAGCTTAATGACTCCTGCCTCCATAAGAGGCGGTAGCTATGGGAGAAGTTCTCCTGCCGACTGCGCTGTCTGCACCCGTGCACATCACTCAGAGGTGTGTATTATTCACACCCCGAGCGACATAAATTATACCGAAGTAATCTGTAGTGTACACATAGCCTCAGCGTCCCTGCTAAATTTGAGGTGGAACAGATTGTTTAGCATAAGTAGTTAACACCATTCAAGGTGAAGTGGCCTGTTTATGACTGGAGGGATATAGGGTGGAGAAGGAGGGGGTGGGGGGAAGTAGCTGGGCAGAGGGGGGCTGTCAGTGGGTTACAGATTGTTGGAATATGCCATAAATTCAGTGTTTCTATTCTGTCCATGATTTTTAATGTCTAGCAGAGTAGTGAACTTAAACGCCCAGGATCTTCTTTTCAAGGTGTTGTGCAGGTTTCCTTTGAGGGTGAGGACCGATACAGTGATCGCTTTGTGAAAAGTGGTCACCCACAGGTGATGTAGTGTTTTTGTCTTATCGTTGTCCTGTGTGAGTTCATTTGAGAGTGTAGTGGTGGTCTGGTGTCACCTACATAGTTGCTATAGGAGCATTTAGTGCACTGGGTGAGGTGATAGGCATGTGTAGGAACCATGGGCTGATAAAAGGTATTACCTCCCCTTGCTTTGTCTCTCTCCAATCGTGGGACCAACACGGCTGCAACAACCCTGCTCGTCCTGCAGTGTCAGTTCAAATTCCAGGTTACGCGTGAAGGAGCAGGGAAAAGACGCACAAACTTTCTCTTTCACCTCCTGTCTGGTAGGCGAGAAGTTCTTTGATATTGACAGTGGCCGGAACACGCCGCTGCACTCGCCGCCCTCTGAACACTACACCATTGTCTTCAACACCTTCGTCATGATGCAGCTGTTCAACGAGATCAACGCTCGCAAGATTCATGGCGAGAGGAATGTCTTTGATGCCATCTTCCGGAATCCCATCTTCTGCACGGTGGTGCTGGGAACCTTTGCCGCCCAGGTAACAGCAACGGGCACTGAGAGCAGCGTGGGTGCGTGTGGACGAGAGATAGGTAGTGCGTACTGAAGAGAGGAAGGATGGGGATCTCAGGAGAGTGGGGTTTGATTCTCTGCTCTGCCACAGACACCCTTTGTGACCTTGGGCAAGTTTCTTAGCCTCTGTGTGCCTCAGTTCCCCACCTGTAAATGGAGATAATAGTCCTTCCTTACCTTGCAGGGTGTTGCAAGGATAATTGCATTAATGCTTATGAGCTCCTCAGATACTACGGTGATAGAGCTAGAAATGACCTTGAAAACTGGGTTTTGCAGGACCAAGGAGTAGTTTGGATCCAGGGTCCATTTTATCCAGAGCCCTGCAGTCGAGGTGGAGCTAGATAAAAGGTTCTGGTTCTGGCCCGACTGGGAAACTTACCTCGCTGGAGGAGTCTGTCTGCTCCCTACCACTACAACCTCATAGGCAAAGCAAGGGCCAGTCCTTTGGTTTCCCTTTGCTCTTTACCCAGCTCCCAGGAGCCAGAACCCAGATGCTGACATGGATGAGCACACAGAGTTTCCATGCGGTTGCTCTGGGGTTTGGCGTTTGACAGCTCCGAATTGTACATCCTGTACAAGCCGCTGCCTGGGATGTTAATTTGGTCCTTCTTTCAGTAAAAACGCTTGGCGTGTGCCTAGTTAAGCCTGCCACTCCCTTTTGAGATGGGGAGAATTTGAGTGGCTGGGTGTGTGGCGCAGAAGCCTCATCTCGCAGCATCTGGGGAGCTCTGCTGCAAAGAGCATTTATTGTTGAGAGGGTTTCCAGAGCTGTCCAGACAATGCCCTTTGCTCGGTGTCGCGACACTGGGATATGAGAGGATAAAGCACAAGGAGAGGGAAGTTGTTGTGGTTTCTTTGACCCTTTTTTGGGTCTGAATGAGATACCTGCTCCAATATACTGGCCCGACCCGGGTGCAAACTGGAACGGGATTAGGAGAACTAGTCAAAATCTTCTTATGGTGAAAATTTTTTCCCGGTGAGAAACAGCCTTTTATGTAAATGTCAGTTTTTGTTTTGAAATTTTCCGGTTTTTCAATGAAAACCAGTTGCTGAAAACTTTTTTTTTTTTTTTAAATGGAAGTGACGTGGCGTAGCAAAACTGAACGTTTTCAAGGGGCAAATACTTAATTTCCCTTCAGATGCCTTTGGTGGGAAATTCTTAGCATTTTCCAACCCCCCAAGTTGTAGCTTTGCTGTCCTGCACCCAGTGACACTGAAAGCATCCTGAACCGGCCGCTTGAGGAGGAAGAGACTCCCAAATGCCACGAGACCTCTCTGACTGCGTGTCCCCTCTAACAGCCCCGCGGCGTGTGCTCTTCTCTCCTGCGCTGCAGATCCTCATCGTGGAGTTTGGTGGGAAGCCGTTCAGCTGCTCCGGGCTCACCTTGAGCCACTGGCTCTGGTGCATCTTTATCGGTGTTGGAGAGCTACTTTGGGGCCAGGTGAGGGCTGGGCTGATGACCCCACCCCCACTGTATATTTCCAAACCCACCGCCCCCGATGGAAACATCTTATCACTCTGCATGTACACATGTATAATACTTAGTCCTGCCATGAGTGCAGGGGACTGGACTAGATGATCTCTCGAGGTCCCTTCCAGTCTTATGATTCTATGTATTCAGGAGTTAAAGCCCCCCCTTCCCCCCCTCCCCCCACAAGCACAGCTTGCTTCCTTTTGCTAAAAACAGAGGGAGAGCTCTCCGTCCTCTGGCTGGTGCTGTGAGACGAACATCTTCTCCCCCCCCCCCCATATATATCCTGGGGGAGCTGGAGGGAGTGCTGCTCTAGGCTGGCAGATGAGGGCTCTCCCTCTTTGTAACTACTGCCTTGTGAGCAGCTCAGGGCCACAGGCGAGCCAGCCTGAGCAATACTGATGGGGGACTCTGGGGGGATGGGGAGCAAAGATGTCGCGTCCCCGGGATGAGGAAGCAGCTCCATTGGTACAGATGATGGCGAGGGATTAACCCATGGGTCCCCGTGTCTCTGTAGCTGATCTGCAGTGTTCCGACCAGCCAGCTGAAGTTCCTAAAGGAAGCCGGACACGGTACCACCAAGGAGGATATTCCAGAGGAGGACCTGCCGGAGGACATGGATGAGATTGACCATGCTGAAATGGAGCTGCGGCGGGGGCAGATTCTGTGGTTCAGGGGCCTCAACAGGATACAGACTCAGGTACCGTGTTGGGCACTGAGGTGCCACTTCCTGTTTTCCCAGGGGCCCTGGCCGAAGTGATCTAGAGCCCTCCTGTTACCTGTGCAGCTCCTCGTGGCCACGGTAACACTTCAGCCCCTCCAGGGTCTAGAATTCCCACTGCCAGTGGCTTTCTGGGTTAGCGCCGATCAGCGAGCCAGGCCTGTGGGCATGCACTGCTGCTTAGCTGCGTGTGCACAGCATGCCTGCTTCCCAGTGGGGCCGGGGCTACAATGAGAGTAGGGGTTGTAGCTACTGTGGGGAGGGATCTTCGTGCCTTCCAAAGCTGTGGGGGGAGGGGCTCAGAGCTGCATGGCCCTCGGTGCTAATGGGGCTTGGGCAGGTGACCATGCCACCGTAGATGGTGCAGCTGGATGGATATTATTCAGCCTTTTTCTAAGCATCGTCTGCAGGATTGCTGCTCCCCGAGTGGGAAGTAACTGCTGGGCAGCCTTAGCCAAGCCCTGATGAAAGATCCTGCTCTAGGAAGGCCCCGTCTACCTGCATTCGGGATGGAGTTGAATACGCTGCGGGAGATGGGGCATTTAGCACCCAGGTTCTCTCCTTGTTTCTACGTTGCAGGTGTGTGAATCCCATTCGATAGGGATCAGAGCTCCACCCCTTTCCCTTCCCCACCTGTCCTCTTCCCATTGACTTCAGTGGCCTTTGGATTGAGCCATTTCAAACCCCAGGCTCAAGATGAGGACAGCAGCCCCAGCTCAGCAGAGAGCCAGGCTGGCTTAGTTTGGTGGAGTAGCAGAGCTGCTTGTTGGGACTTGCCACTCTTGAATTCCCATCTCGGAAGTTGGGGGTCTTCCTTGCCAGCTGAATGCCCGCTGGCCTCGGTCAGCTGTTGCACAAGAATTATTGGCTGAGTTGGAGGCGTGTTGGCTTTCGCCTCTCTGGAGCCAACACGGTCTCTTGCGAAGGCGGCCAGAGCAGCGTGGTGGTGGCTCGGACCACGGTGACTTTTCACACTCCCTCCCCATTGGTTTTATTTATCTTCTTCCCTGCTGCTCCCCCAGTCTCCTGATAAATCCCCACTCGTGGGTCCTCTCTTCTTTATCTACTGTCCCTCGTGCTGTAGCTACAAGGGGAGGAGAATTGTATGAGGAAAAGAAGCCTGGTTTTGGTTTCTTTAATAGTTTTTCCATTGCAGATTTAAAAACCTCACTGACTTTTTTTTATTGTTTTTGCCGAAGAGCATATTTGTCCTTGGGACCCTCCTCTGCTTTTTCCCCCTGAAAGGAAGCGTCTCATCCTGAAGAATACATCATGCACATGAGCTGCTCACATTTCTCTACCAGCTGTTCCCTTCTCAATATTTCTCTTGTTTACAGTCCTCTCCCTGCCCCCAGAGCCCCCTCTACTCCATGCTGACGGAGGCTTTCTCTGTCCCTCTCACCTCCTGCCCCACACTGGGAAGGTACAAGGCTGGGGGTGAAGAGGCGGGCGGCAAAGGCCAAAGTGAGGAATGCCATGCCCAATGACGTGCAAGCTCCTGAAGCATGCTCCCAGCACTGCCAGCCCCTAGCAATGGGCTCTCCTCCTTGCTTTCCTGGCTCAAATGCCGTGCTAGGAAGCTCATGAATTCAGCGTGGATGTGAGGAACAGAGAATCCCCGCTCTTCTGCAAGGGGCACGTTCATTCCACCTCCTCGTCTCCTCTGGGTATTTCCCTTGTGTTGGCCTGTCTGTTCTTCCCCTACCCTCCGGCGTCCTGGCTGCAGATTGGGCAGTTGCCTAATAACATGAGACGTCCGGTTGGGAATAGCAGGGGCTTTTCAGCCTCTTGAGGGAGGCCCAGCATCTGTCGACCTGGAGCATCGCCATTGCCCTGGCTCCAGCTAAACAAGTCTTGGGGGGGGGGGGGGGGGGAGGAATTTGATAGTCTGAAAGTGTCTTCCTCAAAGGCCTCTGGGAAACTTACCTGGCTGGAGGAGTCTGTCTGCTCCCTACCATTACAGCCTCATAGGCACAACAAGGGCCAGTCCTTTGGTTTCCCTTTGCTCTTTACCCGGCTCCCAGGAGCCAGAACCCAGTGATGAGACACAAGGGGGAAGGGAGTTATTGAAGGGAGTGGGATAACGGCTGAGCTGCCTTTGGTTATTGTCACACATTTATTTTTCCTTCCCAACTCTTCCGCCTTTGTCAAAACCCTGCTTTACCAGAGCAGGTTCTGAGGGGCTGCAGATGCTTCCCTCTGGCGTCTGAGTCCGGTGGGAATTTCAAAGTGAAATTCCTCCGGGGGGGGGTCATTCGGGTGGGAGCTCTGGGCAATATCTGCAAGGCAGAGTAAGTCCATGTGTGGCACATGGAAAATATGATAAACCCAAGAAAAAATGTCTCCTGAGACCCATATCTGCCAGGCTATATCCTCCTGGTTTTGTACAGTGGTTTCTTCTTCCCTACCCAAAGCAAGCAAACACCCCCACCCCATGTTCACCTTTTCTTTCCTCCACAAAGGCTACTAGAGGTTTCTGAATGTGAAGATACCAATCTGACCACCTCCACTCCTCCTGCCTAGGGACCCTGCCAGAGTTACCATCCGATTGTTAAACGTACAAGGGATAAGGAAGGAGCCATGTTGTTTTGCATGTTTCAGAATCATGCAACACACTTGGAATGAGAATTTTAGGGTGGCTGCATTTCAAAGAAAAGAGGGAAAGAGGGGGCTGGGGGCACTTCATGGAATGGAGGTGCCGAGATGTGGCCTCAGTATTCTTGTGCACGTTGGATTCGTGAAGCTTGGTCACTGTTTCAGTGCAGGTACCCGCTTAACAGTGGCCAACCAGCAAAAGGTCCCTAAGTCCATTGGACTGGGAGATGTGCCCACATGGGATTCGCATACAAGTCCTACTTTACCCATTGAACTTATGGTTCATACAGCCTTAGGTGTGACACTTTTTTTTGCAGCACATAAGAAATGCATGTGATCCACACTAAAGCCACGTGTATGTGGTTTTAAAAAAATATTGGAGCATGGCCCACATTGAGGTCACTGTGAGTTGTGTGTGAAAAACACGAGCCGGGGGGTACACATGACTGAAGCCAACATGTGATTTTTGTTGTCTTTGTTCCTATTCTTTTAAGCTTTGGTGCTGGCTTGTATCGGCCAGGCTGGGGGTTATTTTTGCAGTGGGATATGGGGAAAACCGATTCTGTTGGGGTCAGATGTTGCTGGTCATTGGGACACTGGCTGTGCTTGCTAATTTCTCAAGCTAGCCTGCAGCATGATAACACCTTTGGGAATACAATGTCGTTACAAGAACGATCCAGACTTGCCGGAGTATGGTAGGTAGAAATTTCTGTAATGTGGTGATACAGGTTCTAGGCGCTGTCTCCAAACCAGTAAGAAGAATGAGGTAGCGATACCAGTAGCCACCATGTGGTGCCCAACGAGTCCATACTGGAGCCAGTTTACTTATGAAGCTTTGCGTTCTTGCCTCATGAAAAATGCTGCTTGCTATTGCAACACTATGCAAAGCCCTGGGTTCTTTCCAGCATCATGTCTGTCCTGCAAATCCTAGCAAACCAGCCTGGAGATCAAAACCCTGGAGTTCTAGGCTTCCAGGAGAGTGTCCTAAATACATGTGCCTTAAAGGGAAATGGCGGGGATTCTTTCACGATTGCCCTTGCTGATCGCAGGAAAACGTTCCTGCATCACAATATGAGACTGGGAGGCTTTTTGGGACAGAAAACTGTTCTCACGGGATGGACTTCACCTAAGTAGGGAAGGAAATAGACTTCTGGGAGGGAGGCTGGCTCATCTCATCAAAAGAGCTTTAAACTAGGAATTTGGGGGAGACGGTTGGGAGATGTCCAGTTAATCTCCACACCAGATTATAACATTGAGAGGGAGGACGACGGGATAAGAACGGATATAGCCGGGGGGAAAAGATTGGACAAAAGGAGGGGGGGGGGGGATGGATACTAGACTAATAGGTCTAACTGGCGGAACGGTGACCGTACCAAATTTAATAATGAATGCGAGAGGGGCTAAACAGCATAAATTAAGATGTTTATACACCAATGCAAGAAGCCTAGGTAACAAAATGGAGGAATTGGAGCTCCTGGTCCAAGAAATGAAACCGGATATCGTAGGAATAACCGAAATGTGGTGGAACGGTAGTCATGAGAGTGAAAATTCAGAGCTGTGTAAATCCCCAGGTGTAACTGGCTACTGCTCTGAGCTACCTTCCTTGGAATGTGTCTGCAGACTGACGCTGCGGCTGCTTCCTTATTTCATAGCTGATGGTTTTTTGTTTCTTTGTTCTTTATATTTAGGGCATTTGCATAAATCACTGTGTGGTTCAGGGCCTGATCCTGAGAGAGGTGCCGAGCATCTGTGAGCCCGTTTGGCTTTAGTGGGAGTTGTGGCTGCTCGGCGTGTTTCTGGAGTCAGCCCCTTACTCAGTCCAATGAAAGACATGACTGATTGGAAATGCTTTTCTATCCCATTGCAGTTTTCTAGAATACAGGCTGCACTTTGTGTATCAGTTGCCAGCTCACACCTACACCCCCCACCCCCTCTCTCTCTTTCCACACCTCCTGCACGTGCCTTTATGTACTAGATCCTTTTCCCTGACTGCCCCCACCCCTTTGGGTCTGTAAAGATTGCATCTGATGCAAACTCTATAGAGAGAGAGAGAGGGAGGGAAAGGCTGAAAGCTAACGTCTAATCTTTGCTCCATGTCTCTGCTTTTGGATCACCTGCCAAAACTGTATTTACGGGAATGTAATCTGAAATGGGTTTTTCCTTTCTTCTCCCTGCCCACCTCCATCCTCTCTTCCTTATCGTCTGTTTGTGTCTGTCCCTGTCTGCCCAGCCTCCCCTCCTTCCCACCCCCCATTCCTCTTGGTCTCTGACTGTGGGGCGAAGCTATCTCACTCTCTGATTCTTTACAGATGGACGTAGTTTACACATTCCAGACCGGCGCCTCCTCTTTACAGGGAGCCCTCAGGAGACAGCCTTCCATCGTGAGCCAGCACCACGATGTAAAACATGTTTCTAGCCCAACCCATGTAGCTCTTTCCTCCGTCAATTCCACTCCCACCACTTCTGCTGCTGCTGCTGCTGCTGCATCTCCTACTGCGGGCAGTGAGTGATAGTCTCTATTACAATGCATGACTTCCTAATAACCACAAGAGAGCACTTGCATCGACCTAACGCAACCTGTTCTCTCTCTTCCTCTTTAATCCTTGACTTGGCCCAATGGTTCCTTGTCTCGATGCGGGGGCAGGGTGGAGAGGCCATTTGTTTCTTTTAAAGCTGTTGCATCTTTAACCATGTTTAAAACCTTTCCGGTTCATTTCTTTCTCTCCTCCTTGTTGCTTCTTTTATCTTTTCTCCTCCTTGCAGGATTTTGATGGATGTTGGTTTGTTTTTTTCCTTCCCATGGGTGCAAAATTTGAGGTTCTTTAAAAGAACCGTGTGGGTCGAAGAACCCCAAATAAAATGTGGGAAGCCGTTCTTTCCACAAGTCAGGATTTCTGACATGGCTCCCCTCAAATCCTCTGAGCTGGTGGTTTTACTTAAGTCTTGGTTTGTTGGAGGCCAGTGGGACCACTGAGCTTTAGCGTTAACTTGTAACTGAACAGCCTCCCGATTGGCCTTCGCAATAACTTGCACATTGCATGAGCCACAAGCCACTCGAAGTGACATCAAGCCCTGTGCAGAGGACTACTGCTTAAGTCCCCCACAAAGCCCTGTTATGAGGTCTTAGGGCCCTAATTAGATCAGCTCTTAAGCACGTGCTTAAATCCCAGTCAGTTGGCCTTGAGGATATTTTGAGAGTTCAGCACCTTTTAATGCTATGGGGCCAATCACACGTGCCCAGAATATCAGACATTCCAGGACTTCTGGGCACAGTGTGGGCCTACCATCACCTGCATGGCACCCAACCCCCTCCACATGACTTTGCATGCAAGGTCATGCCACACGGGAGGCTGCCATTTTGAAGAGCGTGCCACCCCGCCCCCACCAGCGTGACCTTGCACATACAGTCTGTGTGAGGACATGCCGGGGGTGGGGGGACAGCATGCACTTAATTATGGCATCCCCCGTCCGATACCAGACAAAAACACATCCAGTCCTGTCTCGGACAGGGGACAAACCACCTCAAAAAAGGACTGCCTGGTTCATAGGCAGACAAATGACCTCCCTATTTAATGCTGTCCTGAGTAGAAAGCACATGTGTAAGTGCTTTCCTGAATTGGGGCCTTACATGGGACGGTGGTGGCATGTAGGCCTGTTTCTGGGCCTTTGAATTTCACCCTGTATGTGCAAATTAGGTAGATCACTTAGACAACTGATTAAAAACTTTTTTTTACAGAATCCCATTTTCCACTTGCATGTGGAAACACCTGGCATTGAGCGCGCCAAGGTTGCGAGTACACAGTTGTTAATGCCTCGCTCTTCTATGGCACTTTCCATCCATAGACCTCCAGGCGCTTTGCAAATTTAGATGCCAAGTTTGAAAATGTAGCTTCTTTTTTTTTTATTTTTAAATCAGTTATAAAATGGAATGGGAGAAATCCTGGCCCTGTTGAAGTCACTGGGAGTTTTGCAATTCAGTGAGGTCAGACTTTCACCCAAGGAAGTTATAGGGGTTTGCCTTTTGTTTACTTCTGCCTCCATGCACCAGCATAATAGGTTTCTCAGAAGGAAGTGTTCTTAGTTTGGAGCACCAGCAGAGGGGGAGAAACATAGTGGATGTTGGTGTGTCCCACCAAAACACCATTTATGCTCATTGATTAATGTTCTACTTGATTGCGGGAGGGAATCTATAACTTGCAAGGATAGCATGAGCCCTACCAGATAACAACTTTCCCAAAAGCTAAAACGGGTTGCTAAGGGTTCCCTCCATTTTATCTAGACTTGGCTCTACTTCCTTTCTGCTGTTCTCTCTTTCTAAAAACTGTATCCCTGAATACAGATTAACTGAGCCCCCTCTGACTTCCCCTTATTATTTCCTGGTGGAAAGTCCTACTGTGCCAGATCTCAGCAGTCCTGAATGCTGTGTTATTGTTGGGTGGTGATGTAACAAAGGGGAGATCTCACAAGTGAACCACAGCCGGTGGCTTGTAGATTTAGGCTTTGTCTCCACTGGGAATTTTTGCCCTGATTGCAGCTATCGGTGTCCCAGCTCCACCGAGCCCCTAGTCTGAATAGGGTAAAGCACTGCGAGCCACACCTTTGCACTGGTGCAGTTTACCTCAGTTTCAAGGAGCGGTGAGCTCGGCCAGTACACGTGGTAGCTTGACCTAGTGGTTTGCCCGGGTTCACCTAGGCCAGGGGCTGGAATTGGGGCAAACTCCCAGTGTAGATGATGCTTGAGATGCTGTGGAAAACTTGGAATCAAGAGGAAAAGCAGGTCCTTGTTCTGGGCAAGGAAGATGGGTGTTCACGCTTCATTTTCAGAGAAATTGAAACATGTCATTGACATCACCCTTTGGGTGTCTGCATAGACTCTAGTCACTCCTGTGGATTGCAGAAATTTCTGCATGGGAAGTTCTTAAACAGTTCAACTCCCCATGAAGTGGCCATAATTCATGCAGTGCTCTGAAAGCTCGCTAACAATGGACAAATTTCCTACGGCTTGGAATTGGGGAGTGGGGGGATCATCTGGATAAGTTCAGATGCTTGATCCAAAGCTGAGGCAAAGGTGGGCTGGGTAGTCGTGCACCGAAAGGCTTTCTTGCAAGGAGCATCAGAAATCCTGCTTCCAGCTGGGCTGGAAATAAGACCAACATTTCTTGCAGTTTTTCTGAACTTGCATCTGAACCTAGAAGTGCTGAGTAGAAGCTTGAAAACAAAACACAATGAGAAAAAGCCAGTGAAATGTTTCACCCCTCAGAGATGTGGTTCCAGTTTGGAGCAAGGGTTTGGATGGACTTTTATTTTATCCAGACTGGTGAACCCATCCCTAAACTGTTCCTCCTTTGCTTGTCTTCCTACCCGGAGATCCTTTAACAACGAGGTGGAATTTGCACTGGTTTTATGTTAGTTCTGCCGACAGCTTCTTACGATCAGCTGCAGAAATAGCGGGACCTGCCTGGGGGAAAGCAACAAAATATTTCCTTTATGAACTGAGTGGGGAATTAAAATGTTAGAGAAACCAAAACCATTCATGGACATCTGGACCAACCAGTTATGCTCCTGGATGGGTCACTGCCTGCAGAGTCAGAGCCCAGGAACTTTGGATCTAAAAGCATGAGCCTCTTCTGTCTGAGCTAAAGGAGCAGCTGTGCTCACTCAAGGGAAGAAGCGGACCGATTAAACCTCTGTATGTGATCTAGCCATGGGAGGGAGACTAAGTGCCATGCTGTTAGTGGAGTTTACCCACTTGTGTTAAAAGCTGAAAAGCAAGTGATAGCGCCAGCTTTATTGGTGCACATGGATTTTTCAAAGCAGTCTAGGGGGTTTAGCCACACCTGATTAATGGAATGTGTCTAAATCCCTTGTGCTGCTTTGAAAATCTCTAAGCATTCATCGTTTTATGCAGATGTATCATTCTTGGTTCGTTTGCTTGGTTTTTGTTTCTTGCGCATTGTAGCGGTGCAGTGCATATATCTCGGAAGTCTGTCGATTGCTGATCTCTGGGGTTATCCCAGTGTGCACCTAACAGGGTTGGAGTTTTGGTTGTTGGTTTCACTTTTTTTTTTTTTTGGCGGGGGGTGTGTGACTTCAGGCTTCAGAGAAGTGGGTTTTTCTGGCACTAATGCCAGCATGGCTAACCCCCTCAAGCAAGGGCACCTGGAAGTTAGGAGGAGGAGTAACGTTAAATATTCTGATGGCTTCATGCCATGGCTGATGGAGGTGTAATATACAGGCATGATGCTGTACTGGTTAGGAGATGGACTAATGTCCTGGCATGCAATAAGGCCAAGAGCTTTTCCAGTAGAATCCACAAATATCACCCCCTTTTTCTGGATGTATAATGGGCCTCCATTGTCTTTTGGCCTACGTCTTTCCCAGCTCTACCTTACTCTTCCTCCGTAGCTTTGTGGTACCCTGCAGTGTGACGGGAGTTAAGAGAGGAAATGGGAGTACCAGAGTGCTCTGCTTGGAAGGAACCCCAAAGCATCTGGATTTCTCTAGCTGCTTCACCCAATCCATCGATCACAGACGTGCTCGAGTGAGAGAAGGCCTTGAATTCCAGCTGCCCCAATGTTGTCTACCCAGATATAACCTTCCCTTTTCACAGGTCAGGCCGTATGGCTCCCCACTGTGAAGGTGGACACTCAAGTCTTCCCCCGGATCTGTGTTTTTTGCTTGTCTTCCGGCCACTGCAAGCCAGTGTGTTGTGTGCTTATGTGTCCATGTGTGACATGAGGATGGGCTTGTTTCACTTTTATAGATGAAATGCTTTTGGCTTTCAAAGCCCTCATCATGCTGGTGTCAATGAGGATGTTCCATCAAAATGCTCATGGGTCATTATCCTGCTGCTTGGGGGCACCATCATCTCTTCAGGGTGGGTGGAGATGCCAGCCCAAAAGTGTGTCCCTGTTAAAGTGGGGGACATGGGCATCCTATAGGTTGACTTGTGAGGCTGTGAAGTTGGTGGGGGTCTCATCTCAAGCTTCCCTTTGTATAATGCCTTGTTTTCAATGCTTTGTGAATGCTGACATGCTGTCATTGTGCTGACACCAAAGATCTTTGGGGAGTTCTTTTATCTTGGGTATCTGGAAGGTGGTGATGGGAGGGGTTCTGGCTGGTTTCTCCAGTTGAGTCTGCTGGTGATATAGTAACCAACATCTAACCCAGTGAATCTCATGAGTGGTGGGTAGTGGTGTCCTGGTTTACCAGGATCGATAGCCTTTTCGCCAAGGTACAGTGAAGAAACAGTTTGTTTGAGCACTTGCGAGTGGAGGAATTGACTTTCTCCTTCCACTCCTCCTTCCTCCTTTGCTTTCTGTCCATTTAGCTGGAACGTAGGGCGAGTGTTGAGAGAAGCTGGTGTAGCATAGTGGTGCAGGCAGAAGCAAGGAGCTGTCATGGGCATGTGCATCTTCACAGATGTCAGCGCTTTAATGAAGTGCTCCATACAACCCCTCCTGGGCTGGTCTAGGAACCAGAGGACTAAGAGCACTGTACTGATAACCTAACTCCACAGGCAGCATCTGAAAGCGGGTGGGCGAAGGTGACTCAGGGCTGGGTGAAGGCATGGCTCTCGGCTGCTGGTGGGGGATGCTCAAAGGAGATATAAAGCAGTGACTTGAGAGTACACTGGAGTGGTAACAATTCCCTCCACTGCAGGAATCCCTGGGTGACCTTTTCATGGAGGAATTTATGCAGGAGGTGAGATTAGAGGATGGTCCTTTTTGCCCTCAAAACACAAAATCAGCTCAGTTTCCATCCGACGCAAACGGTTGATTAGAACTCCCCCTCCACTCGCTGGGGGAAGGAGCAAACCCAGTAGGTTGCAGCAGGTCACAACTGTAATGGGATGATGATGAACATCTTTGGAATGTAACTTTCAATGAGGGCTGACAGGCTGATGTCTAAGCTAAACCAGTGGCTGCAATTCCATGACCCCTGGCACACACTAGCGCCCGTTAGCTGGGGAAGGTTGGGAGCTGTGGACAGGAGTAATTCATGCAATGTGAGGCATGCCACTCTGACAGCATGGGGACTCAGGAATGTGGCCACTGGTTAATTAGAAATACTTTGGGGTGGGGGTGGGGGGGGGAGAACAGGTGGGTAGCATTTTATTTTGCAATTTGGATCCAGATAACACTTTTTTCTCTGACCTCTCAAGGTTGAGAGAGTTTGTAGTAGTGGTTCTGGTTTTGTCAGCTCCACATAGAAGCCATTTAAACGTACGAGGATGCATTAATTGAATTGACGTTTAGAATGCGTACACCTGAGTGTTTCTTGCGTACAAGTCACTCACGGGAACGGATGTGATCTTCCGCACCCAATGTCTGTGCATTGGCTGCAGTGGAATGACCTACATCGCACGCACACGCGTGGATTTGGGGTGAGTGTGACCATGGAGAAGTCACCATCACCAAAAATGCAGTGTTACCAGGTCGCTGCCTGCTTCACCTTTGTGTGTTGAAAATGTGAATTGCACCTTAAACCTGTGACCGAATAAACTGTGACTTGACTGCAGGGTGGGGTGAGAGAGCTGTAGGCTTTCAGGCTTGGATTTTCAAAGGAACCTGAGGAACTTGTGAATGGGATGCCTTAGGCTCCTTTATAAATCCTGCCCAACTTGAGATGCAGAGGGCCTTAGAAGTGCTCAGAAGTGCTTTTCAGAAGTGCTGAGCCCCCATGACTGTTGTAGGAGCGAACGGGAGCTGTGGGCACCTCATGTCTCTGGAAAGCCAGGTCCAACACATGTCAAGCGGGGCACCTGAAAGCAGCGGCTGCTTTTGGAAACGCTAGCCTTAAACGTGTTGGCGCAGGCAAGGATCGAAAGCTCCTGACCAGAGTCTAGGCTACAGCGTGGAAACTCGCACAGCTTTGGTTTCCTTCTTGCATGCTCGGCTGGGTACGTTTGTTGTTAGTGCCATCTGCTTGGATCTGCTGCTCCACGCGGAGTTGATGAAGCCATGACACCTTTAAACTGATTCCTTTTTATAGGTTTACAAAAAATAAATAAATAACTAAAAATGCATCACTTCCCATTTGCCTAGAAGCCAAATCACTGTGTGTCTAACCCACCTCTCTTTTGAGTTGTACTTCCACTTTTATTTTGTCTTTTTGTTAAATGCACAGAAGCGTGTGTGCGCACGCACCAGAACTAATGCATTTTGATTTCCATTCATTTCAAAGTGATCTGTTTGGAAATGTTTGACTTTTCTTACAGCTTCTGAAGTCGCCCCATAGTCGGTTGCCCCATCACACACCTACTCCTGAATTTGATCCATGTGGCCATCGTAGTTTCCCATAGTTTCTCTTATTTTTATTGAGTTTTGTTCCGTATTGTTGTAGTGGTGGTGTTGTCTTTTTTTATTTTTCACCTGAAGTCCCTGAGATCTCCCTATGGCCGCCTCTCACCTCTTCTCTGTTTATCCCCCACCCTCCACCCCAACCTCCTGACAGATCAAAGTGGTGAATGCGTTCCGTAGCTCTTTATATGAAGGCCTCAAGAAACCCGAATCCAGAAGCTCCATTCATAACTTCTCAACTCACCCTGAGTTCATCATGGAGGAAGACGAGCCTCAATCCCCATTCCTCGACGACGCAGAAGAAGACTCCAAGACTGACGGACTCAAAAACCAAGGTGGGAGTAGCCCAGGTGAATCCTCCTCCCTCAACCAAAATAACAATGCGGTGGACAGCGATCTAGCCGAGAACACCGTCCCGGAGTTTGAAAGCCCCTTAGACAGCCTGGAATCATCGGTTTGACCTTTGAACTTTGATACCCCCTTCACTTCCTTCACCCTGAGTCCCGTGTGATATCAGCACCAATAACTGATATTGCAGAGCGGTCACTTTGTGTTAACTGCTCATATGTATACTATTTTGTTTTCCTTTTATGATTTAGTGGCAGGAACCAGAGTACCATGGGTTGGGGAGGGGGGAGGGAGCAGTTTGCAGTGGGTACTTGCCCAGGTGGGAAACAGCCAAGTTGATATTTCTTCTCCTTGAGTCAGGTTCCGTGTGTCCATAGGGGTATTTCATTTTGAAAAATGCATGTTCAAAGAAAAGGTTCAGATTGTCTTAAATAGTCTTACATGCATGCTCGCCATCTGAGGGTGCATTTGTGGGGTGACTTGGGGGTCTTTTAGCTTGTGGAATTTGACCCCTGATAATGTCACACTGTGGGGCGGGGGGAGAAGCAGCATGAAGGTACAGATTTAAAAATTGAACAGGGGGGAAAAATCTTGAATTGTGTTAAAGAGGAGGAAAGGGAAAAACCAAACAGCTATTCCCTGCGGGAGACTCTGATGGTTAGAGTATGTAAACCAGTCTTCCACCGTGAAAAGATGGTACCTAACCTTTACTACTTTTCTGTCTTCGTATGTGTGTGTCTCTCTGTTTCCAACATGCTAACTATGATTAAAAACAAGGGAGGGTGATTTAAGAGTCTTAAATATGTTGGCTAAGAGATGATTTGAAAAAGACCCTGCTTTGTTACAAAGCCCCACGGGAGATGCTGCCACCATTGCTGGGAATGTTCTCCAAGAACTGCCATGACTGGAAATAAGAAGTCTTACTTTCTGCAGATCTTTTTAAATGCATCTTTTTGCTCTTGAACTGTGTGATATCGGTCGGCAGGATTTTCGATGGTCGGCAAGAGTCATGCGTAATTTAATAGCAAATCATTTCTGAACCACTTTGGTGAGCAGAGGTGTTTTTGCGTGGTTTTTTTTTTTTTTTTTAATACTGTCATTAAATATTCCTTTGGCCCTGGAGTGAGGCTAGCTGCGGCTAAGGTTCATCCCAAAGAACATACCACGTCCTGTACATCTTTTTCAAAGCGGTGGCGGGGTCTGGATGGGAATTGAGTGCCAGCTGCTCATGGAACCGCTGGGGCAACTTAAGGCTACCCATCCTTGCTGGGTTTTGCACGTCCCTTAGGAAAGAGAAGAGACTGTAGTAGGGGAAGCCATATTTGCAGTGGCCATATCTGCACAATCCCATTCAGTGTACATACCCGCCTCATGATGGAATTGTCCTGTCTGTGTCTTTCTAGGGTTGGATGAAGCCGTTTGCAAATAGGGGCATCCTCCTATAACATGGCTGTCTTATTCCTGGGAAGGGCACCTCCTTCATCAGAACTTCAGAGGAGGCTTAATAGCTAGGCTTTGCCCCACTCTCCCTTGTCACAAACGTCCCCTCTCCACCTTAAACCCTAATTTGCCTCCCCTCTTGCCTGGATCTTGTTGCATCTCAGTACTACAAGCAGATGCAAGAAATGATGATCCGTGAAGCTAAGGTCAAAGCCAATGTAACTTACTCTGGAGAAATACGTTCCAGGGTGTCCTGTGCTAATTGTTAATGTGTCTCTTGGGGTTTTTTAGGTTTGTCCCCTGATATTTAAGCTGTGGCAGGGTGAGAGGCCTGGGCTTCAGCTTTTGATCATCTGGGAAGCCACTCAATTAAATAGTTCTGAGCAAACTCACTTGTGACGCCAAGAAAGGGTCAAATCATGAGTGATGGGAGATGTCTGCAACTCCTGTTAACTTCATTGGGTACTTTTTGTGCCTCTCAGAGTTTGGCCCTAGATTGGTGTCATTGAGAAATGCTGTAGAAGGTTACCTATTTTACCCCCTTATCCAACACTTATTCAATTAAAAGCTGTACCTGGAAGCAGAGAGAGAACCCACTTGCAACTGGCTGTATTAAAGGGTTTGTGACAAAAAGGGACAGGGGGCCTTGCCCGACCTCCTTCCTAACAAGCAGAAATATCTTAATGAGCGAGTGAAGGTTGTGTGGGGTTTTTTTTTAGTTTTTTTGTTTTTAAGAACGCACAGCAAAAACTCCCGTGCCTTTTCCAAGCACTGCCCAAAGCACCGTCTGCCACTTGGGAGCCCGGTACTTTGCCAAGAAATAAGTGTTCCTTAAACAACCCAACACTGACTCATGCCGTGGCGCTGTCACGCTTCATTCCACATCTGTTCAGGGTAGACCGATGAAAGGTCCTTCTCACAGGGTCTTCTGCTCCATGGCTAGTAAAGAGGAGGGGATGCTAGGCTCCACAAACTACCAATACCAAGAAGAAATAACCACCACTGTGCATCTTACTTGCAAATCAAAGCCCACCCCTTTCATCCAGAAAAAAACACCTGCTTCCTTCATTCCTTTCATTCTTCATCTGAGCTATAATTGGGAGGGATTAAGGGGGAAATGTAGCTGTTTCTTGGTCTCTTACATGACCTATCTGATAGGAAAGAGAAAAGGATTTTCGTTTTTCTGTTTTAAAGCTTACATTGCTTAAAAGATCATTTTTCTATGTTAAATACTTGCAAAAAAAACCCCCACAACAGATGAAAATACGGTGTTCTTAGGAGTTTACGTAAATATTTATTAAATACTTTTGGGGGACACTGATTTTGTTTCTTTGATATTTTTTTATTACCTCGGACCTGTTTTAAAAAAAACAAAACTTTTGGGGGGGGCGGGGGGAACTTTGGAAGCGCTTAAAAAGTCACTCCCAGAAGTCTCTGTGACTGGCAGGTTACCATGAGGGTCTGGTCTACCTTTTTAGTCAATTTATTTTTTTGTTCTCGTTTCAATCGTAGGAGGGGGGGAAATAATTATATATAAATATTATGCAAAAAATATAGTTTTCTTTAGATCAGAAACTGATATTTTTAAGTCAGCCATATGTATTTTGTTTAAAGGAAAAAAACAAAGCTGTAAGTCATGTGTCTGCAATGGAATGTGATCACATGACTGGCAGTTTAAAGTGACAGGTAACTTAAAGATTGGTCAGACTCCAATCAACTTCCTTTCTCTGAGCAGCCATCTTTGTACTAAAAGTTAGTTGGATTACACAGAACTGTTTTTTATATAAATTATGTTGGTATGGCTGGTTGCTTAAAGTATAAGCGTTTATTGTGCATACTTTTTTATGTAAAATATTGTTTTTCTATTTAGTTTCAGTGATAAACAGGCAGCAGCTAACTATGGCTTAAGTTATTGAGGAAACTTAAACTGGGGAGAGAAAGAGATGGTGCTTTCAATTTAAAAGGCATGGTAGCCTAAATGAATTTCTTAAAACATGCCTTGAAAGATGGAGAGAGGTTTTTATTTTATTTTTTACTGCCAACAGAACGAGTGGGAGGGAAAAAATTAAACAGATAGTGCCATGTCAGACAGGAAATGAAGTAATATCCTGTGATACGTGTTAACTTGCCTTGGAATGCTGTGTTACTAAAACACTCTAAACGATTTTGCATCCAGTTCTTAAGGGTAGGGTCTGTTTTTTGTTTTGTTAAATCAAGTGGCGGATTGGTACCAAAGACATTACATCACTTCCTGTGTGCAATGGTGAATATCCATTTGTAGGAGCTTTCATCATGTGATTAGGTTTGGAAAGGGGGTGTTTGTTTGCACAGGGATCTGACTTTAATTTTCAAAGGTTTTGTGCAATAAGTTTTTAAGGAAAAAATTTAAAACAAAACAAGAACAATAAAATCTCCAGAAGGAAAAATACTAAACTGAATTTTAGCCATGGGTAGGCTGTAAAAATAAATGAGCTGGGGCAGGGGAACATACTTCCTTTTGATACATGTTCAGTCTGTCCCTCATCTAGAAGCTTTCTCTGTGGGGAGCATGGACAACTTGTAGCGGGTTTAACTTTGGATCATGCCGGGGAAGAGTCCATTCGAAGCCCACTGCAGACTCCCACGGCCTTCAATGGGTTCTGGATCAGGCCTTCTGAGGAAGGGATCTTCAAGAAGATCGGTTGCTATAGTGACTTCTTCCAGTGTTCCACCAGGCAGGGAGTCATTTTTTTTCCCCCCAACAGTCAAGGCCTTCGCTTTTCATGTGTCCCCAGGTTTTCTGCCTTCACATGTATGTTGTAGCAAATGGCTGTTGACAGTTGTCTCTGGGAGCTACAGCTCCAAGAGGAGGGGAAGGGTGATGGTAGGTTCCGTTTGTGCCGTGAGAAAGACTTAGATGACTTCAACTTCTGCTGTCCCCACCTCCTTGTGAATTTACCAATTCGCTGAGCTATCTTGAAGGATCTCCTGAAATGTGCTCTGAAAAATCAACTCCCCCGCACATATTCCCGCAGTAAATCTTTCTGAGAGAAGGACAAGCTAAGTATAGTTGTGGTGAATATAACTTTGGCCTGATATCATAACTGACTATAACTCCTTCAGGCTTACCTAGAATTTATGGGTCAAAAACAATGCTGCTTTGTGGCTTGTGCGGTCCTATTAGTGATGTCTCTTTTTCCCTTTCCTTGTCAGTAATTCTGCCCATCTCTTCCTCTTGGCTGTCTGACCTCTTGTGCTTTTGCCTCTGATGTCCCTGCTGGCCCCCCAAAAAGGGGGCTGTGGTTGGGATGTTAAGTTAATTAGCCTTTCAGCAAAGTCCATGGCTAAAATGGCCTTTAGTTTATTTCCTAACCCTAAATAAATATATATACAGAAATATACACTTTGTATATATTTATCTGACTCTCTTTAAAACAACAAAACAAAATAACCAAAATCTTTCTTTTGAAAAGAGCACGCAGGTTTGAACTTGAGTTTCTTTTTTTCAGTAACTAGTATAATAAGCACTGGTATTTTTGTATTTAAAAAAAAAAAAGAAAAAAATGACAAAATAAAAGATTGAATATTATGTGGTATGCATGACATTAAAAACAATGGTGGTTTCAAAGCAATATGTACCCTGGTGTGTTTGCCATATCCTAGAGTCCAGCTTAAAGTGCACCTGATCTGTATTTGCATTTTGATATTATTTAATCTCTATGTACAATGTTTTGCATGTAATTTATATGGTTCTTGGGGAGGAAAAAATACTTTTTTGAATGAATTGTCAACTAGCTGCTTCTGGGAGAATTTGGAACTCAAAGCATAGATAACGCTGTGATTGGAAATGGAAGGGGCAGGGGGAAACTACACAACGGAAGATAGAGGGGGAAACAAAGGGGTAACGTTTTGAATCAATAAAGCTTTTGCTGTTAAGCAGAAACAATGTGCGAGTGCATTGAGAGAATAAAATGTGCCCACATGTAATTGTGCTGTCCTTAGTGTATGTCTACCAGCTTGTGAAGTCACTGATCATCTACTGACGCTGAGACGAAGGGTTGCACTTAAAGGCTCACCTCCGAGCAAAGCTGTAGTGTGGAAACTGGTGGTGTTTTGTTTGTTTCAGTCTCACACCATGAAAACAATTTTATTTAAAAGGTTTTCCAATCTCCCTCTTCAGCTGTGGGTGACTGTACTGAACTCTGTTTCAGTCGTTCTGACTTCTACCATCTTCGAGCAAGGTCCAGAAGCAGCTGTCAAATACTAGCCAAAGCTAATGTCTTCTCACAGATATGGCCATGTGGACATTTTCCTATTCCTCTGACAGTGTCTCTCCAGAAGCTGTCTCCAACTGCAAT